ATATGAAAAAAGAATGTTTACAGTATGCATGCTAGGTAAGGATAGCCCATAGCTTCTTATACAATGCTAAATATAACATATTTAAAAAAAATAGTTTGACTTGAAACCAATTTAAGCCGCGACCGGAATATGATACAAATACTCGATGGAGTTTTAAAGTGAGTTTTAAGTAAAAGTGTAATATTAATCAATTAAATTGTGTCATGTAGCTTTATGCTACCTGTTGTGCTAATGCACCTGCTGCAGGAGCTATTCTATTCCATACAATAATTAAGAAAAAAAGAAGTCAAATAATGTTTATTAGTCAAGAATAGTTATTTTGTTGTTTGTTTTCTAACAAGACTTAAGATAATAGGCTTGTCAGTACCATAGACAGTATTCGGTAGGTACTCAAGATGGCGGCAGCCAACTGGAAAAAGAGTGGTTGACGTAAGAGGTCACGTGACTGATATTCATGTATACTCGATGCGTCCGCATGAGCGCAAAGGTGCGCGGGGCAAAAATGACGTGATTGTAACAGCGCGCACGCCTCTGCATCCCCTAGACACCAAATAATAATGAATACAAATATTGTTTTTTTCCCTCTGGTTTTGAAAACTCTTCGCGATCGACTTAAAATGCTTCCAAGATCGACGGGTTGGTGACTCCTGTAACGTTACTGTTTTACGGTCAATAGTAATCAACTGATTGTCAAAGCCATAACACAGTGAGGGAGAAGAACTAAGTTACATGAAACAATCCAACTACATATTTTACACCACTGACAAGGGAAAAGTCACTACTCACGGTGTTTATGACTAGCTTCTAGCTTTCTGCGGCTTCTCTTTCAAGGTAGTGACGAAACGCGCTCTGTAGCGCTGTTTGTTCGCTGTCGGCTACGGTAGAAACATGACGTCACAATATGTCGACCTTCATAGAAGGGGGTGCCCGCGGTTATGTAGATATAAATGTCTCATTATAAGGTAATAAAAACATAACGGTTCATTGAGTAAGGTCTTTATACACAACTAGGCCAGTAGTAAAATAAACCACCAGGCCAGTAGTAAAATAAAAAAAAACCTTATTAATGAACTGTTATTTATGTTCCAACACAATCTTGAAACTACTCCTTGGTCATTTTTGAAAAACTTTATAATCACTCACTACAAACATTACACACCATCATGAGACAAATCATCCTCGCCTCACCTAAAGACAACCTGAAATCAAAACTTACCCTCTTCACTTTCTTAAAGGGGTCTTATTATGCCCTTTTATGAAGTCTTGATTTTGTTTTTGGGGTGTACTAAAATATGCTTTTATGCTTGATTGTTCAACAAACAAATTATTTTCCACATATTTTACATTATTACAGCACCTCTCTCCCCAGTCTGGCTCGAACGTGCTGACTGTGATTGGCACTGCGTGTTCGGTACATTTTACACCCCTTACCATAACTGCGAGTTTCATCTGCTCAGATGTAAATATTAAGGATGGCCTCAATTTCAAACCAATTCAAATCTGATTCAGACTTCAGAATGTTATTAAACAAGAGAATCGTGAAAAAGTATAATAGGACCCATTTAATAAATATCCCTAGTGTTGTGCAGGATCCATCATTGCATGTTATTCATAATATTTCATCAAAATGTAATAACATTCTCTGCTTCTGCAATGATTTTGTAGTGATGTAGTTCATGTGTCCAATGATATAATATGAAAACCAAGTTCTTGATAAAAATCAAGTCACAATAAGTTATTGAATGCATCACTATGGATGTTCAATGTATGTTGTATGCAGTTCATGTTGTTTTTGAGAGAACATATGAAAAACTATTCTATTCCATTCCGTTCTCCACCCTACAAAGATACAATTGTAAATATCATCCCAAAGTTGTCAAAGCAAGTGGGATCAAAATATAATTCCTGCTTGACAAACTAACAACTGTTAACTGCTTATGAACCTGAATTTTCCGTCTGAACTTGAATGATCCACTTGTCACACTCTCAGCTTTCTGCTGCCCATATACAGAATGGGCTTCCCTGTAAATGTGTGAAAAGATTGACAGGCAGAAATCATCTCAAAGTCTTCTGTTTGGCAAAGGAAGAAATCTGACTGTGGTGTGTATTTTTAAATTCCACAAAAGAAGTTGCTAACTGCACCTTTAATGCAAACAAAGCGAATATATTTGAGTCACAATTAATTTGTCAGAAGTGTTGTTACTATCTGAGAACATTTGCTTCGGCAGCAGTAACATCTGAGGCACTTTCAGACTGCACTTTTGAAAAAATTAAAGCTTCTCTGATATTGTCGAGTCCCATCATGTCACGTCGGTTTATTGTTAGAAACATTACCTTATACTTAGTCACAGCCCTGCGCTTTGTGGGTCATATTCTCTTTGCGTCACTCTGTAGTCAGTGAGAAATTGAAGAGAAAAAAAAAAACCTTAAGCACACACACAGCTCAGCAGGGGCTTTGTTTCTGTCATAGCTTAAAGAGTTCCTCGCTACGTGGTAGGTCCGCTTGTTGTGGAACACGCTCTGGCTGTTTATTCTCCACTGAACCAAGTGGCACTATAAGATTCTGCCGCTGTAATTTTGCAAGGTCACATATCCATGGTGAAGATGTCTGGTTGGTTGATTCGTGCCCAATCGTTTCTTTCCTAACTGATGGTCTGAGCCTTCTTGCTTGATGAAATATCACAAGTCTTCAAATTAATGTTATGCTCTGGTGGTTAAACCTGGAATGGAATATTTCATACTATTTTTAGCAGCTGCGCAGGTTATATGCATATCTGAAGGACGAATATTGCAATACTGGTGGTGTAAAACATGATTGTCTGGGATGCGTCAGTGGATAGACTTGATAGATTTTGTAGACGTGTAGCAATTAAATGAAAAATGACTACATCCAGTGTCATAAACAGTTTGGTCCTCCCAGTTTGGTTGAATCGAGTCTGCCTAGGACCCCAGGGGGTTGTGTTTTGCGATGGCTGATCAAAAGCCATAAGAATTTATGTGGGTATGTGTTTATAAGCTAAGCTAGTGTGCTATGCTATGCTAGTGGTCCTGTACATTACTTGTCGCACAGTTTGAATAAATGTTGTTAAAAGTTAGAATGATAAAAATGTCAGTGTTTTGTCAATTTATATTCATTCATTTTAGTCAATTATACAATACTAAAAAAGCACTTGATTTTAGTTTGTGAAAAATAACATTTGAGTTGACAAGTCCAAATTGAAACCAAATATTCAAACATTTATGTATAAAGAGTTATATTTATATTCACAATGTGACTTAAACATTCTCACTAGCACGTAACTTAGTTCATTTAAGTCAGTACTATTATTCAGCTAGGATGCATTCAATTGATCAAAAGTGACAGTAAAGACATATAATGTTAAAATTATAAATTCATTTCTTTCAAATAAATACTGTTCTTTTGAACTTTTTATTAATCCAAGAATCCTGAAAAAAGTTTTTGTTTTTTTGCAAAAGTATTAAGCAGCCGATGTTTCAACTTTGACATAAGAATAATTTTTTTCTTGAGCAGCAAATCAGCATATTACAATGATTTCTGAAGGATCGTCTGACACTGAAGACTGGAGTAATGATGATGAAAATTCAGCTTTACTATTACAGGAATAAATTACTTTTTTTAAATATATTAAAATAGAAAACGGTTATTTAAAATGTTCATAATGTTTCACAATATTGCTATTTTTTCTGTGTTTTTGATCATATGAATTCAGCCTTGGTGAGCTTCTTTCAAAAAAAATCTTATTGACCACAAACTTTTGAAGGAAGTGTATGTTGTGTATTTATCTAATCAATAATCATCATGCAGTATACAGTAAATTACATGTTTGGGTGAGTAAATTAACCTGTTATGAAAACGCTTTGCTGATGTTCAGCACTGTTTATCTCAAGTCGATCAGTCCATGACTGGAATATAAAAAAAAAAAAAAAGTTTAATTATCACCATGATTTAACTGTGATTTCATTGGTGTTATTAACACTGCTGGAGATTTCTGTATTTTCCACTGCGCTCAGTTTAGCTGTTTTGAACAAGTCTTATGTAAACACTCTGCCTTAAGAAACTTGTCCAATTGGGGTCAGGTTATCCCAAAACTAGGCTAATTTACGGGGCTTCCCCTTACGTTATGCAGGCAAGTCCACCAACTATTCGAGTTTGAAAATATGCAGCATTGCACATCCCAGTAGAATAACAGGTGGTGTAGGCTGCACATAAGGCCAGAAAAAAAGAGTAAAAAACTAACAGGCTGTCTGTGATTGTGCTGGTTTTTAATAACCTAAAATAACGAGGATGAGATATTTTGACAAGCTTCCTCCTCAGTCGCCTTTTTTCTTAATGACTGTATTTCGAAACTCTACCTCGTTCATCAAATGTTTCACATCTCACAGTGGCGTTCGCAAATCAAACCTTTATTCAAAAGTGCGGCTGTGTTTTGTTTCAGATTATTCCTGACAGCCCGTTTTCAGCTCGTTTAATTGCGCTCTGGCAGTTTAATTTCAGGACGGAAAGCTTTACATGTATAAATGACCTTCACGATTAGCTGATGCGCACGGCGCTCGGGGAGATTACGCTGATTTACATGTGTGACATCACTCACCTCTGTGGTTCACGTCTACATGAAGCACGAATAAGAAAGCATGCACTCTAATCCAGGGAGATTTTCTCATGTCACAGGGATGTACAATGATTCATGCTTGCAGCTGTCTTGTACTGTTAATTTCTGGTTCGTTTATGCTTCATTTGAGCCAGTAGCCTTAAACCTCTCATTAGTAAAAATCACATCAAGGCTCAAGTCCTGCCTGAACCTTTCTGCCATTTCATTAATTCTTTGTTTCCACTTGTTCATCCACAATTGTTTGGTTGGATTTTCGAGAGTCTATAAAAAACAGAGAACATAAAGAGGAATCATTTCACATACCCTTTGTCCACATCCATCCCAGCTCTAATGACCTTCCCTTGCCTTTTTCTATCTCCCTTCAACAAGGCCAAGTGGAGTCAGTGGCCACATTCAAGGGTAATGAGTTCTTCAGCTACGACCTGTCCCAAAAGCCCATCCAGAGCAGCACCGATGAAATCACCCTGTCCTTCCGAACGCTGCAGCGGAACGGCCTCCTGCTCCACACCGGAAAGTCCGCCGACTACGTCAACCTGTCTCTGAAAAGCGGTGCTGTGTGCCTGGTCATCAACCTGGGCTCCGGCGCCTTCGAGGCTCTGGTGGAGCCGTCCGACGGCAAGTTCAACGACAATGCCTGGCATGCTGTCCGTGTGTCCCGCAACCTGCGTCAGGTAACGTTCACCTTTGCGCATCGTGGCTCCGCTGGGTGCTTCATTTGATCTTACCGATATTTTTGCTAATCGTTATTTAGTTAACTTGTGTTATTGTGTAGAGTATATGTACAAATGCAATATTAAGTCTTTAAAACCGTTTTTAGCGATTTCCGTTAGCTATAATAATAAGAGTCAACACATGGAGGTCACAAGCAGATTTTCTTTTTTTTAATGTTCAATAAGGCAAATGTGATTCTCAGGACAGCCATTTCAGTGATATCCATCAGATAATTTTGTGTGTTAGTGTGAAAAATCTAAAGTCAATCTAAACAGTTATAAAATGTGCTTTTCTGAAATAACCGTTGTTCCACATTTGATTTTAGGCTCAAATACTGTGATACCAAGATCACAAGAGTGTGTTGTTTGTTATAAAAGGTGAATTCCAGACTGCATTTTTGCGCACTGTAGGAGGTCTTTGCACTAGTTGTGGGCCGTTCCAAACAAAAGTGAGCAACCAAATTCTTTTAGGAAAGGCTGTTAGCAAAAGGAACTTCATGAAAGTAATTTCTTTTATTAAGGTGCCCCTATAATGCTATTTTAAAGTGTTCCTAATTTTGTTTTGGAGGTCTTCTACAGCAGGTTTACATGAATCAAAGGGTAATAAAACACACCTTAATTTTCTCGTAATATACATTGCACATCACCACATTTTTCAATGATTCTCATACGACTCGTCGGATGAATCAGTCTCTCTAAATCCCTCATTTCCGTGAGCCTGCTCTGCTCTGATTTAGCCTGGCTAACGTCAGACCCAAGTTCATTTTCTCGTATTTGAGGCGTGGTTTACGAATGCCCAGAGCCGTTTATTGGGTGCTAAGAATGTCTATCAAATGCGCCTGTACGAAGCTCATAGCCAATCATTTCAATTATACCAGATGACGTATGCAGAGCGACAGAAATTAGACGAGGAAGACGACGATGGGTCCGAGATTTATGTGTACACGATGGCGTGTATCTAATGGCCGTTTCACACCGCATGCGTGAGCGGCGCGTATTTTTTTCGGCGTGCATGTTAATCAATGAGTGCATTCACACCGGGAGCAGGAGCAGCGCGTGAGCGTCGAGCAGGAGCGGTGCGTGAGCAGCAGTGAAGCGCGGGTTTCAGCATCGAATCTGTTTTTGCTGCACTGCTCACGCTAAATTAAAGTGAAAGCACACTTTTGTTGGACAAAAATAAATATGATTTCACACAAAAAGTGCCCAAAATGCACATAATAAGCATGTCTAGTGAGTTTTAACAAGAACTTGAGTAGGTAAATAAAAGAAAATACAGACTCAAAAATATTTATAGAAGATTTAGGCTACCCGGTAAAAACTTGTTTTTAATTATTCAGTTTGGGTGAAAGTTGTGAATTATATTAAAAAAACTAAAGTAAACTAGCCAGAAAATATTATATATAAACGTTCTTTTAGTTTATGTAACACACAGACAGCTACATAGGCTAGCACAACCCAAATCAAACCCAAGTGTGTGGTTTATTTGTGTGTTTTGTTTTTTATCCGCGGAGTTTGCAGTCTTGTAAACATATCGAAATTATGACTGAAACTAATAGATTGGAGCCATTTTCTGGGTTGTTTAACATTTATATGCGAATGTTGTACACCTCCCCATAACAAACTTTCAAGACTATCAATGTTATAAATGACCAACTTCTAAAAACAAATCTATAGTTGTCTTTGTAAAGAATTGCTCGCTTATATATGTAGCTTTGGAGCCGCTGCTGTGACACTGTACTACAAACGCTTCCAGTGTGAATCCTCTCGCGCGTCTGCAGCTGCAGTGACAATGTAAGTTAGTTGCGCTGCTCAAGTGCCGCTCACGCTCGCGGTGTGAAACCGTTATTAGTCATACTTGCAGGTAGGGGTGTGACGGTTATTATATAACCGTGAGACCGACGGATATAGTTGAACACCGTCATTAGAACTCTATAACCACCAGAACCGTGCTATTAAAATATTTTTTACAAAAAAATTTTTATCATAGAGAATGTTTAAATACTAATATCAGCTTAAGAGGGAAACGGAGGCTGCTACTGCTGGAGATGATTCGGGAGAGGTCTGTGCACCTTTACCGATCAGAGCGCGCGCTGACACGGAGTAAAGCCTTGTTTATACTCGACGCGTCCGCACGATCGCGAAGGTGCGCGCGGCAAAAATGACGCGTTCGGTGCGCAAGACCGGCAAGACCCCATTTGGCTTGGCTGTGTGTTTATATCTATGGGCTGTGTGCACGGCTTTTTTTTGTAACAGTGCGCGCGGCGCCGCGTCCGAATCATAGACTTCAAGCCGAATCTGCCCGAGCATGCACGTCTCACCGCACCGGCACGCAGTTTGCGCGTCTAAATTGCAAAGTTCATTCCAAAGTTTTTTCGTTAAGGTTTTGTTACTGTGTGTGACTTATTAAAAAAAAAAATCGCGTTCATTGCAACGTTTGTTTGTTTTGTTAGTTAAGGATTTGTTTACTGTGTGATACATTTAATGGAAAGCGCATTCACTTCTAGTTGTCTTGCTGTTCATGTTAAATAAACGTAGAGCCAGTAGCTAATCAGTGTCTGCTTGTTTATTCAAACTAAGTTGTCCTATAACAGACGAACAGTTATTCAACCCCCCCCCCCCCCCCGACGACGGTTATGTTATGAACCGTCACATTTGACTCACGTCATAACCGTCATCACCAATTCTGAAACCGGCACACCCCTACTTGCAGGTTGTGATTCTGAGGAGCAAGTTGGTCCAAATAAACTGGATACTGACCAATCTTTCAAGAGTAAGCTTTTATGAATCCCACATTGAACTCCGAGATTTGAGAAGTAGTCGTCAGTAAAATGACGTGTTTGAGGACGGGACAAGTTGTTCGCGGGCAGACAACGTACAACATAGGCGGGCATAATGCAAATGTCTTATCTAGTGACGCAGAACCGTAACACAGTGGGATTCAAATTACAGATGACTCGTTTAGGCGGTTCAGAGTCGATTCTTTCTTTTGGGAGACAATAACTTTATTTATCGTGCACTTTCGACTTTACAACATTGCAGAACGTTTACATTCACAAACAGCTATATTACACAGTGCATGAAAGGAAATATTTGAAAAACAATAATAGGGGCACTTTATGTCTGTTGCTTAAACGTAATGTAATATGTCCCCTATATATTTAGAAATGTTTATAATATTGCTCATTTGTTTTTACCAAATGCCAAAAGAAGAGACAATAGTGTGCTGCACTAATCCAGGGAACGAGTTAGCATTTTTGCACTTCTGGTTCCATATTCCCAAAGTCAGTGTTATTTTTGAATGTATTATTATTTATTTTTATTTTGTTGTTGTTAAATGCCTCAAATAAGGTTTTCACATTTACTCATAAAATACAAAAAATACATCTGTTAAGACCCCACTTATTATGTTTTTAAAGCTTTTACATGTCTTGGAAAAGCTAGCAAGTGACTAAATGGGACTACCTAGGAATTCAGGGACATTTAAATGTCACAACAGGAAAACTCATTTACTCACTCTTTTACAGCTTCATTGTGTTTGTGTCTTTTTTTTTCTCTACCACAGTCTAAACAGGTTAAGTTTCCCAAGCAAATTATCCAGATAACATTCAGACTCAAAATAAAGTCAAAGTGACGTATGACTTTGTGTGGGTTGTCCCAAATGGGCACGCGTGAGAGTTTTGCCCTACACCCGTCAGAGTACTCGCTCCAAATGCTCTGGAGTCAGAACGGCAAATTAATGCTCACTTTTGAATGGAATTTACCCTGAGACGAACTGCACAAAGCCCTGATTTAATTGGAATCGGATAGTCTCACGGGTGCTTCAGTGGACCGGGCAGTTGTTTTGGAGCTTGTCCACCTTACATTGATAGCCGTCAGAGATTTAACTAAGGTAATATGTAACCCTGATTGTAAAAATAGATGTATGTTTTACATTTCATAAGCACTGAAATGAGTTAATTTCAGTGATTTATTGAGTGCAAAATATTTCTGTTGTCGGACACTTGGAGGGCTTCCAGGAATCTTCTTCACTGCAGGATTGAAGTACCATAAAGCCACATGCTCTTCCAGACATAGACGGTGGTGATAATTACCTTCCAGTTGTTACTAACTACGGATGTGTGTATGTGCGAGTCCCTGTTGAAGAGGAGTGTTTTGATTAGACTCCATTCAAGTCCTGACTGCACCGCTCTGTTTTGCCTGTGATTTAAATCCATGATGGTGAATATGCTGCAATTACGCCAGCAAAAAAAAAAAAAATCTGTTCTCATTCAGCAAGCTTTCCATCTTGTGGAGAAGTGGGGATGTTTATTATTAATCATTTAACCTAAGAGTAAAGGGGTCCCTCTACCACGGCCTTAAAGGCGGCGTTCATAGCCGAGGCTGTTTTTTTCAGTGTCATTATCCTGATTGTTTTCAATCCTTTATTGCTAAAATATGATTATATGATAGGGCGCATTGTATAGACCCACACTGTGCCTGCTCGCTTCTGCCGCCGCTGCTGATTATTTCTCCATTTGACTGCTGTAACCTTTAGCTCAAGTGTTGCTTACAGAGCCGAGGGTGCACCTTGCATCTGTTAACAAATGAGCTGTATTTTTGCTCTGCCACGACAAATTATTGAAGTACCGAGCAGGCATAAACGAGCGCATACCGGGTGTTGACATTTTTGTTTTTGTCATTCATTTACCTTAAATAACGAGTGAGTCGCTACTGCTGCTGTCATTCTTTACTCTAACGCTGCTGCCTCTGCAAGATCCCTCCTTCAAAACCCTCCCTAAACCATCCTGTTTGACAGATTAGTTGATCTCTCTCTTTTTTACTAACACTGAAGCCTCTAAGTGGATTTGTCATTGTTTATCTTCTGCCTTTACCCCTTCAAATACTAACATGAAAACCTCCATGGAATGTGAGCCATCTGTTTGCCGTTGACAGTGTCCAAAGAAATTGGATCTATAATAACAGATTTTTTTTTTTTTTCTCATTCTTCCTGGGAAGATATATTCTAATGGAGGGCGGAGAAATTAGTGTCATTTTTGTGGTATGGTTAAACTTGCTTTAAAATTGCTAGTAAATAATTTTTCAATCGTTTTAAAGCTTCTGTGGAGTTTATGGTATGTAATTTTACTCTCCCTCCCTTGTTTTTTTCTTTTTTTGAAGCGCGCAGGGGTTGGACTCCCTACGGTAAACAAACTGCATTATATGGTAGATATCACATTCTAATTTGTCTAGTTTGGTTTGGCCCTTTCTTTTTATCTCTTTTTGCTTTTACTGTGCAGAAACGACTAAAGAAAAGTTTAAAAATGGCATCAATCCCCAGGTGCCATGCAAAAGTTCATTTTTTTGCAATTTATGTACATTGTTTTTTTTATATACCACTCACAATCCTCCTCACCCATATCCTTATTAAAATGCTTTTTGTTGTACGAGTTCTACCATTAATAAAGCATCCTATTTGGCTCTCTACGGTGGGCATAAACGATGCTGTAAGCTGCTGCAGGCGGAAGACTTCAGTCTGAGCCACTGGGTTTGTTTTCTCAGACAGAATATTTACTGACAAAGACATATTTTTATGCTTAATGTAAATGCTAAAATATTGCTCCAAAGACCATCTCCTTGGAATAATACTTAGCAGATCAGGTATTTTAGGTAATGAACAGACAAACTTTGCAGTTACATAAATTAAATTATATGTCAATATAAAATAAAAACTGCCCAGTGTCAGTTAGAGGTCTGCACGGGCTTTAAACTGAAGCCCGAACCCGGCCCGTACCCGCGATCATTTAACCCGACCCGACCCGACCCGACAATTACATTTACATATTAAGCCCGAACCCGACCCGAACCCGAGGTCCATTCTGTTTCTCACAGCAATACCATTTTTGCAATATGCTATGTTGTATTTAATGATTGCTTGACTGACATATTAAACAAATACATGTAGGCGCAGCGGCCCTATCAGCAGGCAGCACAGCAGTAAGAGAAAAAACTTACCAAGTAATTTTTTGCTTTATCAGACTCATGGTTTGCTTGTTGTCGTCGGCTGTCTGTATTGTTACTGAAATAGGGCGCGAGAGCGGTAGCACATGCGCAAAACAGTTTTGTGATATAAATGATATGATAAAATAAAACAAATAATTAAAAAAATTATATTTATATATCATTATATTTGAGAGAGAGAAAATCGCGCACATATTGCACATCTGCGCACGTAGCCTATACTTTCTCTCTCTCGCGTGCCGGTCACCACAACACAGCAAGCAGGCAAAGCACACGGCACGCAAACTATATATAGCCTATTTAGTTTTTCTTAGTTAAACCCGAACCCGACCCGAACCCGAGGCTGTTCATTAACATTAACCCGAACCCGACCCGAAACCCGCACATTTTTCGGGACCCGTCGGGCTCGGGTCGGGTAGCAGACCTCTAGTGTCAGTCAAAGTAAAAGGGCAGTGGGTGCTCTTTCAAAGCATTTCGTAATTTCTCATATAAAAAAAACCCCAATCAAAAACAAACCTTTGACTGGAGCTCTTGTGCAGCGTTTCTGTCCACCTGCTCCATTTTCCCTCATTCTCCCCCTTTGATGTTTGCTTTTATTAAATGTTGCGGCATTTCATACAGAGTTTACGGTGCACTGTATGATGTAGCATTTAATAAGCGTGTTTTTGCGTAGAAACGTCTCTTAAAATGCAGTCCTCTCAAACATTGTATTCATATCTGCCAAGTTAATCAAGAATAACAGGAGAGAAGGGCAATGAAGGCTTTTATTTGAACTGTAGATGCAACTACTGAACATTTACTTAGATTTATTTTATATAGCATTAAAATGGTAAAGATCATTAGTGTGCTAGGTGGTATGACTTATAAAAATGTCTATAAATTATTTTATACATTTAATAACACAATACTGTATTTCCCCTAGCCAATATAAAATAAAATAAAACCAAGATGACGATTATAGTCTACTCTTCAAACTTTGCTGCTGACAGACGATTCCAGTATGAAGCTTTGTTGATTGTAATAGGAGCTATTTAGTTTTGACACATTGTGTAGATAACTTTAGGTTGCTTTTGGTTACCAAGCAACGTCTTGACTCCAATTAATAGAATCCACTGTTTTCCAGTGGCTTTACACTTGACAAAAGAATAATACATTATAAATATAACCATTTTTAGAGTATTGCTTTTAACTGAAGTGTTGAATAATGTAATGTTATCATTTATGAATGGTGATGTGAATAATCTTCCGTATTGGTTTGCAAGTAAATATTCTATATATTATCTCAAGGAAAAGTTAAGGAAAAGGAAAAGTTCCTTTCATTTCAAATATTTACTAAACTTAATAAATATTTAAAAAATTGACTATTGAAAAATAGACATTACATAGATGTTGAGTGAGATAAATTACTTTGAGACAAGATTCTATGCAGTTTTATTTTGCAAATCAATTATGTTTAGATGTTCACATTGTGTCAATGCTAATGTAACATGCCATTGACAGTCCTTTCTAATTTCCAGCTGCCTCACACTTAATCTAAAAAGAATGACCTTGGGCAGACGAATGAAGGTGTTCTGCTAAAGCACAAACACTCACTGTTTATATGAATTGAAAGTGGAAAATGACAGAAGTGGATAAAAATGATTGTGGCTGCCATACAGCTGTTATGAACCCTCTGTCTAGGGATCAGAGAAAAGACTGACCTCCCTTTACCCTTCTCTTCCTGTGGAAAAAGAGTACATCTTTTTTCCTCATGCACTTCGTTGTTGTGATTTTTGTCATTGAGTTCTTTAAGTAGCCGATGACGTGGCACTTTTTATCCAGCATGTGCGACATGTTTTTATATAATACACAGCTTGTATGCCATTATGCACTTGCATAATTTGCTTCTACTGCATGTGTGGGTAACTATTTTCTGTTGTTGTTGTGTGGTGCTGTACATTGATATATTTTATTATTATTTTTTTGGTGGGGCTTTTTTTTCCCCTCCATGTTTAGCTTTCTCTGCTCTTTTTTTCTCTTCTTATCTCTTAAGGTTCAGACAAAATACTAGGTTTCAATTTCAGGCCAATGCAAACCATCTATAATTTCCATCAAACAAGCTGCATTCTTTCCAGCTTTTGCCTACTTGTCCACAGTAATAATAATGTTCACAGAATATTTGACGACATTAGAGATGAAATCTGAAATCCTCTCTGTCTGTCGGCATGGAAACGCCTCAACCCTGAGCCTTTATTAAGACTGTAAGAAAACCACCTGTTTTGGATGTCTGCCAGTGTTTCCACACTTTAGTATTAACATTTACAAATGTTGTAAATATAATTCTGCTCTAGAGAAATCATAAACGACTCTTTAGTCTAACCATATTAAGTCCTGAAATTGTAGCCTAAGATGTCTTAACCATCATGCATGGCTTGTGTATTAACAATCTTAAAGCTATCGCTACCCAAACACCTTCAAAGTATTTCTTTTCAAGACATCTCTTACAAAATGTGTGCAGTTAATCTTGTAGTTGATCAGAACTGACCACAAACATGAATAAATGCAACCTCTGTTATACTAACAACCATTTTTGTGTCTGAATCCCCCCTTTTATACTAATCTGCACAGTCACCCTTAACATCACTTGCTAACCCACTCAACATATAGTGATTCCTCTTAGTTCCTGACGCCATACACCTTCCCTTCCTGTCTCTCCTCTCCAACACTGACTAGTGCACAGTCCAGCACACATGACAGCATTCTCTCATTCAGAAAGCAGCAATAGCAGACATAAAAATGGGTTGATCCCTTTGCAAACGTATGCATAGAGAACCAGAGGAACCCCCACGTGAAACAGACCAGTTTTTTAGTAGAGGTACTTGTTGAGGCCAACAAGGATTGCGGGTGTTTCTTAATCAAAAGATTTCCCACGTTCCCTCTCTCGTTTCTTTCCCCTCTCTCGTTTCTTTCCCCTCTCTTTTCTATCCTTCCGTGGCTTTTATGCAAACAGGTGACGATATCGGTGGACGGGCTGCTGACAACCACTGGCTACACCCAAGAGGACTACACCATGCTGGGATCAGATGATTTCTTCTACGTGGGCGGCAGTCCAAACACCGCGGATCTTCCCGGCTCCCCCGTGAGCAATAACTTCATGGGCTGCCTTAAAGATGTAAGTACGCTTCTGAAACATTTTGTTCTTTACATTGAATTTGGGTCGAGACCTTCTCAAGGAGGACCTGGTTTCTCGGGATCCATTAATGTTCTCTTTGTTTGGCGAGCGTTCTGTCCTCTTTTACCTCTTCCTTATCTGTCCTTTTCCTTTCTCCTCTCTCCTCTCTCTTTCGTGTCCATTCGCACCCCTCCGAGCATGTCCCATAATTTATGTCATGTCTATACCGTTGAAGTTCCAGCTTTACTATCCTGACAGCCAAATTAAAAATTGATTTCCTCTATGGATCCCCTTTCGACTGTCCCAGACTCTCCATCTCTGTCTCGTTGACCCCGGACTCTATTAATCACCACTCTCTACCTGCTCAACCGTACAGTTAGTATCAGTGTCCCTCTTCAGCAGGAACTTGAGCACTCCCTTATCGTGCCTCTGATAGAGACACTTAAACATCTACAACGTTGTTACGCTTTTGGGAGTCTGTTTTGTCTTGTTTTTGTCTCATCTCTTTTTCGGTTTCATTTGCTCTTTTGTTGTGCAGGTACTTTATGTCCATGTTTTCCCCCATGTTGACTGCATCTACATGTGTAGCATTTAATTAGGCTAGTTTGTCAGGGTATATATATACCCTCTCGAGTCATTTGTCAAGTCCTTGTTAGGCTGTAATGTTTGGTGAGCATTGTTTTTTTTTTTTTCTTGCCTTTGAAAATAAATATACAGGTCCTTCTAAAAAAAATTGCATATTGTGATAAAGTTCATTATTTTCCATAATGTAATGATAAAAATTTAACTTTCATATATTTTAGATTAATTGCACACCAACTGAAATATTTCAGGTCTTTTATTGTTTTAATACTGATGATTTTGGCATACAGCTCATGAAAACCTAAAATTCCTGTCTCAAAAAATTAGCATATCTTGAAAAGGGTCTCTAAACGAGCTATTAACCTAATCATCTGAATCAACTAATTAACTCTAAACACCTGCAAAAGATTCCTGAGGCTTTTAAAAACTCCCAGCCTGTTTCATTACTCAAAACCGCAATCATGGGTAAGACTGCCGAACTGACTGCTGTCCAGAAGGCCATCATTGATACCCTCAAGCAAGAGGGTAAGACAGAAAGAAATTTCTGAACAAATAGGCTGTTCCCAGAGTGCTGTATCAAGGCACCTCAGTGGGAAGGAAAAAGTGTGGCAAAAAACGCTGCACAACGAGAAGAGGTGACCGGACCCTGAGGAAGATTGTGGAGAAGGACCGATTCCAGACCTTGGGGGACCTGCGGAAGCAGTGGACTGAGTCTGGAGTAGAAACATCCAGAGCCACCGTGCACAGGCGTGTGCAGGAAATGGGCTACAGGTGCCGCATTCCCCAGGTCAAGCCACTTTTGAACCAGAAACAGCGGCAGAAGCGCCTGACCTGGGCTACAGAGAAGCAGCACTGGACTGTTGCTCAGTTTTGCATGTCATTCGGAAATCAAGGTGCCAGAGTCTGGAGGAAGACTGGGGAGAAGGAAATGCCAAAATGCCTGAAGTCCAGTGTCAAGTACCCACAGTCAGTGATGGTCTGGGGTGCCATGTCAGCTGCTGGTGTTGGTCCACTGTGTTTTATCAAGGGCAGGGTCAATGCAGCTAGCTATCAGGAGATTTTGGAGCACTTCATGCTTCCATCTGCTGAAAAGCTTTATGGAGATAAAGATTTCATTTTTCAGCACGACCTGGCACCTGCTCACAGTGGCAAAACCACTGGTAAATGGTTTACTGACCATGGTATTACTGTGCTCAATTGGCCTGCCAGCTCTCCTGACCTGAACCCCATAGAGAATCTGTGGGATATTGTGAAGAGAAAGTTGAGAGGCGCAAGATCCAACACTCTGGATGAGCTTAAGGCCGCTATCGAAGCATCCTGGGCCTCAATAACACCTCAGCAGTGCCACAGGCTGATTGCCTCCATGCCACGCCGCATTGAAGCAGTCATTTCTGCAAAAGGATTCCCGACCAAGTATTGACTATTGAGTGCATAACTGAACATAATTATTTGAAGGTTGACTTTTTTTTTGTATTAAAAACACTTATTTTATTGGTCGGATGAAATATGCTAGTTTTTTGAGACAGGAATTTTGGGTTTTCATGAGCTGTATGCAAAAATCATCAGTATTAAAACAATAAAAGACCTGAAATATTTCAGTTGGTGTCCAATAAATCTAAAATATATGAAAGTTTAATTTTTATCATTACATTATGGAAAATAATGAACTTTATCACAATATGCTAATTTTTTGAGAAGGACCTGAATATGTTGATCTTCCATTGAAATCACTGGTGGCATTTTATACAAATAAGGTACTGTGCACTTTGGTATCCTGTGACTTTGTAATGGGGTACAAATCCCATGCTTTTTGTTGAGAACTATTTTATATATTTGGTAAAATATTTACAAAAATCAACCTGACATGAAAAGTAGCTAGTTTTTAACAATCAAATATCTTTGAGGTCTTGACCTTCTCAATTGTATCCAACAATTAAAACTTATTAACAGTGTCTTTTATCAGTTTGTCAATATATAGCATACATTTTCAGTTCAATGTAGTAAAACTACATTTAGCTGTCCCACATTTTGCATGCAAACTTGTTTTCCCTCATTTTTAAAAATGTAACGCTCCTTAAAATTGACAAGATTTCTTTTTAAATCCAAATTGACATCCATTGAATTCAAGGTATATGTTTTTGCAGTTCATGCATTCCCTGGCAGGTGAACCTTTGACATTGGAGCTGCTAGCACTATGCACTACTGTTTGAGCTACAGGGATACTGGATAATCCATTTGGGATGAACAGTTGGACCCTTGCTACAGCATGGTGGAAAGACAAATCAATTTTCTTAATTTGTTTTAAATTTCTACGTTATCTTTGCAGTTTTTATGTTTATTGAATGTTTATCATCAACAAAAAAATAAAATTGAGATTTAAAATGGCCTCCAGACTAACTTTTGAGAGCAGTAGCACTGGTGCCACTAAGCCTACGTTCAGACTGTCAGTCCAAATCCGATTTTTGTGCATATCCGATTGAAATCCGATCAGAATTAGCAAGTGTGAACTGCAAAAAAAATCTTATAATGCGATTTTTACAAATCTGTTTCAAGCCATAACCATATGTGGTTGAAATCCTATTCAAATTGCATTTCTGGAAATCCGTTTCAGTCTGACTGCTCTGATTGAATTATAAAAGAATTGTTTTTTACGAAGTGTTAGTTTTCCTACATCTTTAAACTTTTAGGTTTACAAATCAACACATTTAAAATAAGATTAAAATTGGATAATATTTATAGCTTTGAAGTGCTGGAAAATGTGTGAAGCACTTGAAAGCCCTTGAAAAGTGCTTGAATTTCACTATCAAAAGGTTGTACGAACCCTGAGATGAATAATGTATAAAAAAAATCATTCAACTATTTCTGCCACAATACCATGGTTACAGTTAGCGTTGCTACATTAAATCCATGGTGAATGTTGGTGGTTTGTGGACTTAAAGACTTCTATAACTTGTTTGTTCATGGCACAATATTTCTCCTGGTTCCCACATCAGTGCTGTTTGATCTGATATGGTTTATAACAGAATTCTGCACTGAATTTGAATGCTTCTCACTATATCTTGCAGCGATGTTATTAATACTGCGGCAAATTCAAATGCTTTCTCACTGGATCTCCCAGCGCTGTGTAGTAACGGTGTCATCGAGAGTAAACCACTTCTGAGCTTGCGCTGCTCTGTCAAGTCACCTTGATTTATATAACGATTTTTTACAATACAGATTGTTTCAAAGCAGCTTTACAGTGAAAATAACAGAAAAATAATGCAACAAAGTGCTGTACAGCAGCTCTAGAAGAAAATAGTGTGTTTGTCCAGCTAATTTAAGTTCAGTGTTGATTCATTTTGGTTGTAAAAATCATTATTTATTAATTTAGTTAATTTATCTATACAGCAGCTCTGGAGAAAACAGTGATGTCATCGTCCAGCTCAGTTCAGTTTTCATACAATGGTGACAATGCAGTAAGATGAATAATATTGTTGAATATATTAAGCTGTCTATTATTACCGCAAGCTGATAATAAACTCCCTTGATAAACTGTCAAATGCGGGGCCCGGTGCGGTTGCACCTGCTGCACCGCCCTAATGACGGCCCTGCTTATAAAGCACATATGAATGCCTTATTCTGCATGACCATATTCTACATCTCTTAATCATAAACATAACAACTACAACAACTACCTTACTAACTATTAATAGTTTTTTGAGTCAAAAGTCATAGTTAATACTAGTGAATGTGTTTCCCAAACTAAAGTGTGACCAAAGCGAATGCTTATAGTGAAGCAGGAAGATTAAGATGTAATAGTGAAGCATGAAGATTCATACGGTTAGGCTGTGCAGTCGGAGATGGTTTGAAATGTTCTCATTGATAGATCCTTCAGATTTTTTTTTTTTTTTGTCTATGGTCTCTGCCAATAATTGCATTTTTCATGTTCCCGCGCTCAGTTGGCACCTCTTGTTTTGCTCCTACCACTCATTTTATTTTTCTGTCATGGGGGCTGACAAGAAATATGGCCGTCTTGTGTTATTTTCAGAGACACTCAAGTTCACACCCAGCAACAAAGCATCAGTCATCATCTTCGGACAGAGAGAGAGCCTGGTGTAAAAAAGAAAAGCATGTTTGCTGTGCTGGGCTGATTCGCCCATCTGGCTGTAGAGACAGCACATGTGACGGAGATAAAAAAAACAAACTAAAATCCACCCCTGGGGACACATTCACAATGCATGTGTTTGTAGGAATGGTATTTTCGGACCGGTTTTGCTTTGTGTTGTACCGTGGCACGTGTGGGCTAGACATCATATCCTCGATCAAGATTTCTCAGTTGACATCACTTAATATATGCACTGCTTATGCGTGCGATTCAGAAAAACACTTAGCTTTTGCATCTCAGAGCTAATGTTAGCGTAGGATGATTCATCATATTAATGAAAAATAATATCGATTAGCCGAGGGTTTTCTGGAGCGCTGTGGATGGGGTCGCTAGGTTTATGTGATCCACTCATGCTTTTAGTATTTAAAGAGACTGCTGTGTTTACTGACTTGAAAACCGTGCCCCAGAGGTACATGCATCATCTGCAGTTTGTTTGTACCAGTGGGCAGCGTGCTACTCCATTCCACCCTGTTAGCATTCAAGTACTTTTTTTTTTTTTTTTTCTCTCTCTCCCCATCCCAGGTGGTCTACACCAATAATGAGTTCAGACTGGAGCTCTCCCGCCTGGCTGAATTGCGTGACCCCAAGGTCAACCTCCACGGCGACCTGACCTTCCGCTGCGAGGATGTCGCCGCATTAGACCCTGTCAGTTTCGACGTGCCAACCGCTTACGTAACCCTTCCACGCTGGAACACCAAGAAAACCGGCTCCGTGTCCTTTGACTTCCGAAGCACCGAGCCCAACGGCCTCTTGCTGTTCAGCCACGGGCAGCCACAAGGTTCCAAAGATCGCACGCCAAAGGTGGACTTCTTCGCCATGGAGCTGCTAGACGGATTCCTCTACCTGCTCATGGACATGGGCTCCGGCAGCATCAAGATGAAAGTCGGGAACAAAAAGGTCAATGACGGAGAATGGTGCCACGTGGATTTCCAGAGAGAGGGCAGGAAAGGTTGGGATACTGCAAGATCAGCACACACATTATTCTCCTGTTTAAAACGGTGTTGTTAACCTGCTGCCTTTGACTAAAGCACTTTTTCATTCTGCCAGCCTAGGGTCCATCTGATATGCATACTTCACAAACTGCTAAATCACTGTACTCCATTTCTTCTACCTCTCATTACCTCTCATTACTGTAAGAGCTCAACTCTTCACAGTTTTAAAGTAGCAGGGCCGGCATGGGATTTTGCAAATCCCGGGGGAAGAGGTTGAAGACCTTTTCACTAGCTGAGCTCAGGAAAAAAAGGAATAACATGGATTGCTAATGCTAAATTAATGAAAAAGAAAAAAGAAACCTTTTGTGGCAGCTATTGTACAGCAGCTACACTGATTTCACGAGTTACCATAATGAAAGTCTTCAGGGATCAGTAGTAGCGGCATTAATTAAATTAGTTTTAGTTAATTATTAACTAGGGTTGTCAATTTAACAATGTATTAACTGCTACTACAAGTAACCAGGGTTATGCAGTTCATGAGTGTAAATTTGAACACCACACCCCACAGGAAGATTAATTTAATGATCTATCTATCCATCCATCCATCCGTCCGTCCGTCCGTCCGTCTATAGCTCTATCATTCTTTTTGTTGTTCTATACATTTACTGTTCCGTTTAATATATCCTGTCTATTGTTTCACCTTCTGTTTGTCCTTCTCTGTCACTTTATCTGCCATTCTATTGATCGGTCTATCTATTTATTGTTCTGTTTGTCGTTATATCTGTTGTTCTATTTACAGTATATGTTATTTTGTCTGTTGTCCTATCTGTTGTTCTGTCTCTATTGTTCAGTCTGTCATTCTGTATGCCGTTCATTCAGTTTTTCGTTTCTGTCGGTCAATCTGTCAATTGTTCATTCCTTCTATTCATCGTTTTATCGTTCTCCCTGTCCATAAAACAATCAAACATTTTCAGAACTTTTAAACAAGGCTTTATCAAGCCAACATTTGTCTTTAAATTTCAATTAATTTATTTCCACTTACATCCCAATTCAAAAATGTTTGCTTCCTCAATTCAAATTGAGGAATTGAATTGCACAGGAAAGGCACTGTAAATTCAATTCTAAATTTTGCACAACCTTGCAGGCAGCATTCAGCAAATGATTTTGTGACACTTTACAGTTTAATAAACATATCAAGTAACCAATTAAAAAAATATATTCTAAATCAATTGACAATCTTATTATTAAATTAGGCCTAAAATGGCTCTAAACATTGATGTGTATAGGTTTACAAGCAGATGAGCACTGATCTTTATTAAATCTTTTTTTCCGGTCTCCTAGGCTCCATCTCAGTTAACGGCCGTAGCATGCCCTTCTCCACCAACGAGGGCAGTGAGATCCTCGATCTCGATGGTGAAATGTATCTGGGGGGTCTACCAGAGGACAGCGGCGGTCTTCCTCTCCCGCCAGAGGTGTGGACCGCCCGCCTCAGGCTGGGCTTTGTGGGTTGCGTGCGGGACCTCTTCGTAGACGGGCGCAGCAAAGACCTGCGGCGGTTGGCGGAGCTTCAGAGCGTTCCGGGTGTCAGCAGCTTCTGTACGAGGGAGACACATCGGAGGTGCAGCTCGGAGCCCTGTGCCCACGGAGGCCGCTGCCGTGAAGGCTGGAACCGGCATGTCTGCGACTGCACTGGAACTGGATATCTGGGTGCCAACTGTGAGATGGGTGAGAAAAGTAGGGCTTAAAGCAGTAGGGAGGGAGGATTAAACATTGGATTACTTCTCACCGATGAGAGCATTCTCATAAAGAAGTGCAAGGCTTCAGTGCTTCACTCATATACTTTTATATTGAGATATAGCTGCACTTCAGCTCTATTCATCAAATCCCACCTGCCTAGACCTTTGTTTGCTGTCGCGGTGTCATTTCTAAGTCTCCCCTGCCCTCTGCTGTCTGTCACTAAGAATTACAATGTGACCACCCAATGTCCACCACAGACATGTTTCTTGTGACTCCGCAACGGTGCACATACACTTGAAACAATATTTTAGTAGTTATGAGTAGCAAATAACATTGTTATACTAATATAAGGAAATTATTAGCATGTAGCAGTGTTAGCTAGTGACGAACCAAATGGCCAAGTGAATTAACAGAGTGATATTATTATGGCTTGATTTTGTTACTTGTGTAACTCTATGGCCTGGTTTCACAGACAGGGCTTGGATTAAGCCAGGATTTGGCCTTAGTTCAATTAGGACATTTAAGTAGATTTTATGAACATGCATTAGAAAAAAACTACTGGTGTGCATCTTGAGACAAAATAATGGCAGTGACATAAGAAGTTGCTTTCAGTTAAAACAGCTCTTTTAGTCTGGGACTAAGCATAAGACTTGTCTATGAATACCGTGGGTATTAAACGCATAATAATGATACAAATACTACTACTACTAATAATAAAAAAAAAATTGCATTTCATTTGTATTTAATTGAAGTTTATTGTTTTTTATACATTTTTACTAATTGAAATTATAATTTAACTACAATATGACCAATTCAAATGTTAAATTATTATTTTTATGGAGTAGGGGTGTAACGAATCCCCTTATGTCACGATTCGATATTGAACTCACGATGCAATATTATTGCGACACTCCAAGACATATGGTAAAAGGTTAACAAAAATGTACTGTTGATTAAAATGCTAAATTTGATATTACATTTATGGGTGTAAATGAATAGGCTTGAACTTGGTGCTGATAACCCAATGCACAGGACAATAGTGAAACCAGAATAAAAATATTCATGATTCTTAAGCTGAAAATACAAATTATTTTCGACAAATATGCTTGCACTCTGTCACTGACTAGATATGTTAGAAGTAAAAAGTGGCCAACGTTATTTTAAATATAAGACAATTGGCATTATCAGGACACAAATATTCCCCCATTGCATTATTATACAATAAATACAATATTATATACCGGTAGTAGTTTAATGTAGGACTGACACTAAGGGTGTATTCACACCTGCCTTGTTTGGTTCGATTGAATCAAACTCAAGTTCGTTTCCCCCTTGGTGTGGATCTTTTGGGCAGGTGTGAATACAGCAATCGCACTCGGGTGCGGACCAAACAACCGAACCGAGACCCAGCTGAAGAGGTGGTCTCGATATGATAAGCGATATGATAAGCAAACTCTGGTATGGTTCGTTTACGGTGTGAACATGAACCACCCAATTGCAGAAAGCACTGCACCTTTGACTTATTAGGGATAGCACTACACATAGTAGTATGCAGTAATGTTAGCAGTAGTGCTGTCAATCGATACTTTTTTTTTTTTTTTACTAGATTAACATAGAGTAACGTTCATTTAAGACTTTATTTGATTGTTCTTTTGAGGATACTTAAAGGGGTCATATAATGCCATTTTCATACAAGTTAATTTGATTCTTTAGGGTCTAAATGAAAAGTTTGTAATATACTTTAATTAAAAATTCTCATTAGTATTGTAAGAAAACACTAATTTTACCTGGTCAAAAACAGCTCTGTTTTCAGCACGCCGTTTCAGTGCATATGCCTTTAAATGATAATGAGCTTCGCTCACTCCGCCTATTGAGGAATGTAAGGTTTGAATATAGGTAGGTGAATGCTCATCCACTACGGGGCTCCGGTAAGAAGCGTGACAGGAGACAGGGAACCGTTAAACTCTTTATAGGTTTGAATATTCAAACACAATGACATCATCCATCTGTACTGAGTTTCGATTATATGTACAAGGTATTGAATGTGGTTTTTCTAGAATAAACAGAATACAAAGATACATCAGTGTATGTCTAATAACTTTAAGTTACATAAACATAAACTCACTACTGACACGTTATTTATATATATAAACCAACGTCACATAGGATTACAGCTGCAAACATATACACGTGAATCACTGTATATAACTCTCGCATTATCATGTTATGCACAATGTAAAGTTCAGTTACACTAGCTAAATATTTGAATACAACAGTGTAACAAACATACATCAACTTATAACTGTGAATAAATGAATAACTTACATTCAATCACGCAAATTAACACCTGAGGAAATGTCGGAGAAAACGTCTGGTGAAAGTGAAAGTAAACACAATAGCGGAGTGCCGGAAACTAACGCTACCTAACAGCGCAGCGTATACAGTAATCATTCATAATAAAAGTCCTTCTCGTACTCTTATATAGGGAATTTAGAACACCGCCCCTCTGTTCTGCGGGCGTTTAGACACAACGCACGTGGAGTGTTGCCTTGACAACAGTTGAGGGTATATTTTGGAGAAAGAATGGCAGCGGGAGTCTCTGAGGACACATCTGTGCAATCGTATCAGTTTGTACCGGAGTCGCACCTTTTTTTACAGTCTATGAGTCGGACCCGGAACAAGATGACGGCCGCAAAGAAGTTCGACAATTAAAGCTTGAACAGGACGTTTCTGAATGGTTGGTTAACATAATGTCACTTTGATCTATCTTTGTGTACTGGCAGGGTAGAGTAACTCAGTGAGATGTACGAACGCTATGTGTTTACTCATGTATAACGTACGTACTCAGTTTGTAATAACACAATAACCATACCGCGTTGTTCATTATAAACGTGGGATTATGAATTATATTGATAACGTCATACATAGAAAACATGCCGTAATGTACCCTGAATGTAAACCTTAGACGCATTCATCGTGAAGCGTGCAAGCGATTTGCAAAGATTAATATAAAATATACAATTTTACAATTGTTTTTTCAGGAGCAGCTTCTTAGCAAAACCAGCTTTATACTGAGTCTGACCCTCGTTTATAAAGCAGTCAGGTGAAAAATGATTCGCGATTCGCGCAAACATGAAAGCAGTGACGTTGCTCGTGGGGAATATTCCCTTCGAAAACAAAACTCAGCCACTGCGTCTTCAGCGGTTCGGATTTAGGAACATCAAAATGACTGCTGTGTTCATTATTACACCCAAGAACAGAACACCACAATCGCTTAGACGCCATTCTGCTCCAGCGTATCAACAATGACGGACTATGATGACAGCTCGCTCAGGGCGTGTCTGTGTTGAAACGCTGCTGTCAATCAACAATCGTGGGAGGGGCGTCCGTTTTATTGACGTCACAAAAACGAACGGCTCGATTTGAGGCAGGGGAAAACGTATAAGGAGATTAATCATTATCATTATATGATGGTTGTGTACAGACACTGCCAACACATTTCAGTACAATCAACTTGAAAAAGTGCATGTACCATTATATGACCCCTTTAACAAAACTGACATTTTGGCATAATGGTGTGTGTTATTGTTCGTTCAAGCGCGAAAGAGAATTCGATTCCGGCGCGCTGTCTGTGCACGATACTGTTGCGCGTCTTTCTGCGTGTCGTGTGTGCAACAGGACATTCACAGACAGAGCGTTCTCTTTTGTCTTATCGCGCTTAAATGGTTTAAAAGCATTTGCATGAATAGGAGTGTGATCATATAATGTAACGATAGTTTAAGGATGATGGGGGGGGAAACGGGTGCTGTGTTAATTTGCGTTAAACTGGGCAAACTTAATCGCATGTAACGTTGCCAGCACTTGTTAGCAGTAATAATAATCACATGATTTGGATGTATGAACATAGCCCCTCTCTATGAAATCAGTAAAAGAAGAAATATTGCATTACGAAATATCTCCATGCTGAGCCTGTTTTTGCACTTCCTGCTTTTCCCTGACTTTAGCACACGTGTGGTTTTGTTTACAAATTTTGGTTCACTTGCAAAAAAAGCAGTGTGAAAGCGAACCGTACCAAAAAAAAAATTCTCACAGTAATTTTTCTTTTGGGTGAGTTATCCACGATATATATTGTTGCATTTTTGTATTGCAATACACGATATATTGTTACACCCCTATTATGAAGTTACATTTGTAGTTTTAATAATGATAATAATAAAATGGTAACTTAAAGCAACACCAAGGAACTTTTCCTCAGCGGTCGCCCTACAGGTTGGAAGCGGAATTGTCCATTACCGCTGTCGTAAATAATTTAGCCTACCGCAGCCTACGGTCGCACGCGCACGCTCGCTGATTGTCCAGCACCGGCTTTGGAATCAACAATGGCAGACATCCCAACCGGCAAGAAGTCATTTCAGGGAGGTATATCTTGGTGATTGGATTGTTGACGGGGGGTGGCGGGTTGACTAGCTTTCGTGAGGCACACTCGCAAGCTCTCTCGCTCTCTCCCTCTCTGCCGTGCTCGCGCTATGTATGTTATGCGCGCAGTATGTTCTGTCTCGCATGCGCGTGCTAGATTCTGGCAGATTTGAACTAATTTGCGGGCATCAGGGAGACGCTATTGACTTGGGATGTCTGCAATGGCCATAGACAATTTGAGGAAGTGGTGGGGGAAGTGACGTATGCCGTAAAGCAGTGGAGTTTTGTAGTTCTTTTTGTGCTCGGGTTACTACCTGAAACCCGAAGTTACATAGTGCGAGTAAAAGCGATACAGACCACGTCAGGCTATGGCAGATGTGTCATTTAACCTATTGTAAGTCGATGTACCATCACAAGGGTCTTGGAAATATATTATGAAGGTTGAAAAGTTCCATAGTGTTTCTTTAAATATAAATTAATGTAAAAAAAAAAAAAAAAATCTAATTTACAACTACTGTATATAAAATACGTTTATTTAAATATGTGGCTATATGTAACAAATGTGAACTATTGTCCCAACTGGGTCAGCAGAAAAGATCCTTATTTTTGAGACATGTGTTTTCTGATTTACTCTCTATTTTCCTCATCTCTCAGAGTCCGCAGTGCTGAGTTATGACGGCAGCATGTTTCTGAAGATCCTGATGCCCCACGCCGTTCACACTGAGGCTGAGGATGTGTCTCTGCGCTTCATGTCGCAGAGGGCTTATGGTCTGCTCATGGCCACCACCTCCAAAGAGTCCGCCGACACCCTGCGCCTGGAGCTGGACGGGGGAAGGGTCAGACTCACCGTCAACCTAGGTAACCTTTCACCGCTGACCTCTGAATGCAAGGCACTCGTAGAACAAGTCTGCACTCGCTCCCAGACTGCATTTCACCCTTACTCCTTCATCTTTATCTCTTTCTTCACTCTCTCTCTCTCTCTCTCTCTCTCTCTCTCTCTCTCTCTCTCTCTCTCTCTCTCTCTCTCTCTCTCTCTCTCTCTCTCTCTCTCTCTCTCTCTCTCATCCTATCTCGCCTTTGCAGCCTTCAATGGCTATCTTTTCTGCAGCTTTCAGAGCAGACAGCCAGAGAGACCAACCCATGTAGTTTTTTCTTTAGAAGACGCATTGAGACATATTAGGGGAGACAGTGGGGAAATTATATAATTTTCAATTTTCCTAAATTTTTTTAACTTCCATCTTTGGGTACAAGAAACATATGATCATAATATTGAAATATATATAAAAAATACAATTAACTTTAATATTAAACCCCTATGTATCAAAGAAGAGTACATTTCAAAGCAATAATATGATTACTTTAATACTTATTATCATTATTTAATTTCTTGCACCTTTATATGATAATAATTATATTAGTTGTCAGGAATAATATGCATTTAAATAAATTCCATTAAAGGTGAAGTGTGTAGATTTTAGCGGCATCTAGCGGTTCGGTTGCGAGTTGCACTAATGGCTCAGCCCACTGCTCACCCCTCCCTTTCGAAGAAGCTACGGTTGCTAAAACGGGACAAACATATCATCGTCTGAGACAGCAGAGAATAGCCAGAGTAAGCCAAGTTTCTGTACCACAGTCCATTATAAACCCCACCATGGATAAAGTTTACAAAGCCATAGTCAGGTGAGGATCAAGGGTCTTAATATATAATATAATAATAGTAATCAGCTGATTGTCTCACAAACGTAACCAGCACATTTTTCCCCACATAGCAAACCCATAATACTGTACAGCGAGGGAGAAGAACCACATGAAACTATCCAACTACATCTTTTTTTCTAACAGGGTAGTAAAAGTTTAGCTGGCTAAATATGAGCTGTTACTGTGGCTGAGCTGGTTAAAGCGCCTCCGCATCCCCTAGACACCATTTACTACACAGAAATTAATAAATAATAATGTACTAATTAAAAAAAATAGTACTAATCAGCTGATTTTCAAAGCCATAACACAGTGAAGGAGAAGAACTAAGTTACATAAAACAATCCAACTACATATTTTACACCACTGACAAGGGAAAAGTCACTACTCACGGTGTCTATGACTAGCTTCTAGCTTTCTGCGGCTTCTCTTTCAAGGTAGTGACGAAACGCGCTCTGTAGCGTTGTTTGTTCGCTGTCGGCTACGGTAGAAACATGACGTCACAATATGTCGACCTTCTGCCCGCGTTTATGTAGATATAAATGTCTCATTCTAAGTTAATAAAAACATAACGGTTCATTGAGTAAGGTCTTTATACACCACTGAACACATAGTTATGGATCTTATATTGCATTTCTGTCAATAGATCCTCAGAAATATTACACATTGCACCTTTAATAACTCCATTAATAATAAAAAAATGGGTGTTTTTTTATATAAAAATAGTGTGATAACCTGATTAGACAATAATTCTCTAATCGATAGTCTTGAAGTAGATACTTATGTTAAATTCCATTACATATGTTAAAGATTTTTAATTCAGTCATGTAGTTTTTATTTTATACTGTATCTAGAATAAAATTTGTCCATTAACCTCACAGTCATAATGAAATATTGCATATTGCCTGTCATCTGATGTTAATATCAAGTTTAAAAGTGTAATATATATATATATATATATATATATATATATTAATATAGCAGTATGTCACGGCTGTCAAACTTTAGATGGGTAGAAAAACACACAAGGAAATTCTTGTACTTTTAAAATCAAAATATGAAAAGTAATAATCACACTTCCTTTTTTCAAGCAGAAAGAGGACTTTACCGATCATACGTTTGAATAAGTCTTAGCAGTCTAGCTTGTTTGTGATGGAAGAAATGTAATTGCCCCCTGATCTCCCCCACCATAAGAACCATATTGTAATTCTTCTAAAGTCTCTCACTGTCCTCTCAGCTCAAGCTCAGACTGGAACTGTCTGTAATCTTCTGTACAAACAGACAGTCCACAGGAGAGTCGAGTCTGAGCTAGTCTTTCTGTCTTAAAGCAGTGTGACAGTGAGACAGGTCCCTGGCTGTCTGTGGTCACTCTTCTGTAGCGGTTGACAGCTTGAGAGTTCGCCACAGCCAAGAGTGCTCGCACTATTCAATAGGATCAATTATTCTGTTATTATCTGTCTAGTCATATAATCAGCCGACTCAATGTTTGCAAGTTTTTTTGGTTTTCTTTTTTTCTTTTTTCTTCAATGGAGAATTGGACATTTGGCCTGCAAAGATTCCTCGTAAATACTTTATCTTAACAATACCACTTAATATAACAAACTTCAAATTATATTATCAGAGATTCTTCTATAAAACCAATCTTTAAAGAGATCAAGTGTAGGTGTGTTCACAATGATTTTATATGAATATTGTGATGATTTTAATGTTCTTTTTATTGATCCTTAAGTTTTCTAATGAATCTGCCATTCAAATAATTTTGCTTTCTTTCTTGGTTCTTTACTTCATTTAAACTTCAGATGCAAGAATGGCATTAGATTTGCTCAATTAGATATATATTCAATATGGCCTTGATTCATCAAATTCATTATCAGATTTAGCAATTTCTTTGAGTTGTCATTCAGAAATGTATCAAGATAGATGTAGGTAATACTGCATTCAAAAGTTTGTGGTACAAATTATTTTATTTTTTTAAAGAAATTAGTACTTTTGTTTAGCTGAGATGCATTTCATTGATCAAATCTGATAGTAAAGACATTTATAATGCCACAAAAGATTTCTATTTCAGATGTTGTTTCTTTTTATCAAAGTATCCTAAAAAATGTATCACAGTTTTCACTAAAATATTAATCAGCTCAACTGTATTCAATATTAATAAGAAGAAATGTTTTTTGACTGCCAAATCAACATATTAGGAGGATTTCTAAATGATCACGTGACACTAAATACCGGAAATTCAGCTTTGCCATATCACATGAATACAATACATAACATTTTAAAATATATTACAATACGAAACCGCCATTTTAAATTCTATTAGTATTTCACATTATTACTGTTTTTACAAAAAATAAATACCTTCTTGGTGGGCTTAACATTAAAAAAAAACATAAAAAAAAAAACGTACCAACCGCAAACTTTTGAACAGTAGTGTAACGTATGAAATTGAAAATTAATATCATTTTTGTTCATTTATTAAATCCTTTTAAGTGGATTGTTAGCAAGCTTTTATCATGTATACAATATTCAGCTATTTCCTCCCCTCTGATTTATAAATACAAAAAAACGCCTTTTCAGAGCAAGCATATTGAGATGTTATCAAAAGGCTGAAAAATATTGCACTGTATATTGTTTAGCTCATAGATGACCTGTTTTTTAAACCGAGCATGAGCTCTTGGCTGATGGTGCAGACTGCCCTTGCCTACAGTCATACTGGCACCACCCACATACAGGAAGGAGGCAAAGCACAGGCTAAATACAATGTTGTGTGTGTGTATACAGTAAACTGTATATAAATTGCCAAGTGATTCTCAGATGTGCTGTCTCTCGTCCTGTTTGTGGGGTGTGGGCCCTTGTAGAGAGGGCCATTCTGACTCTCACCTTGTCCCCGGATGGTTGACTCTATGCAAAAATTGTTTATTTGTCTGCAGATTAAACCTTGAAGGATGTGGTTTTGAATTTCAGTTCCTTTTCCTTTAAATCTCACCATCTCACTCTCTTTCCCACCAGATTGTATCGGGATAGACTGTAACCTTAGTAAGTGATTCTTTTATCTGCAATGCTATTTTTGTCTCTTTCTCTCTCTCTCTCTCTCTCTCTCTCTCTCTCTCATGCTCAGCCCCAATTCATCCAAAGTTTCTTCTCCTCCCTCGTAATCCTGTCTTCCTGCACCGTTAACACAGATTTTCTTTTGAACATGTTCCTAGTTGGCATCCCTCTCTCTTTCTCTCTCACTCTTTCCCCAACACCCCCCTCTCTCTTGCGTTCCCTCAATCTCAATCTCTTTTGTTACGCAAAATATGCCGATTTGCTGCGGTGTTTGAAATTAAGCATAACCATCTCAACAGTTTCCATTTCAACACCATATGTTTCTCACTACTCCAGTCTGTTTCATGTCCCTGTGGGACTCTTTTACATAAGGAAAATATGATAATAAACCATATAATAAAAGAAGAAATGTTCATTTGCCAAATCAGGCGTGAGGTTGAACATTGCCTGTATTTGAGCAGTGTTACATCCATGTGTTGGGAAACGGTGCAATCCTCAGTATTTAGCAGTGCAGTTATTCTGAAGGTAAGTAGTAGTGTGAATGTTATGTTCAGTATGAGACCAAAGGACTGTGTGTATGTGTATGTGTATGTGTGTTTAGCTAGATTGGAAACAAATTTGTCTGCAGAAGTTAGCTAAATCTGACAAAAACTTTTAGGGATATCCTCATTTGGAAAACAATTAACTAAAATAGTTTTATATTCTAATAATTCTTTTAATTTTTAAGAGTAGAGTTAAGGTTTAGGTTTGTCAGTAGTATTGTTTATAATTATTAAACTACTCACTGGAATGCTTTATTAAATTGAGTGGATCTATCTATCTATCATGTTTCATTTGGGTTTAGTGATCCTACTTGCAGATCAGCTCACAGTTTCCAAAGAAAAAAAAATCTAAATATAAGCTACCATTTAAAGTTTGGTGTTGGAAAAAAATGTCAAATGTTTTTGAAAGAAGTCTCTTATGTTCATCTAGGATGCATTTATTTGCAAAGTTAAATTAAATGTGTAATATATTACTACAATTTATGTGAATTGTTTAATATATTTTAAAATGTCATTTCTTCCTGTGACGGCATAGCTACATTTTCAGCATCATTACTCCAGTCTTCAGTGTCACATGATCCTTCAGAAATCATTCTAATATGCAGATTTGCTGCACATTTCTTATCATTATCAATGTTGAAAACAGTTGTGCTACTTAATATTTTTAATGGAAACTTCAAATTTAGAGAAAGTTCAAATTTAATCGAAATTTAAATATTTTGTAACATTATACATATATTTACTGTCACTTTTGATCATCATTGAGTGCATCCTTGCTGAATGAACAAATTAGTTTCTTAAAAAAAAAAAAAGAAGTCTTACTGACCCCAAATTTTAAATGGTTGTGTATATATTTGGTAAATAGCTGGGTAATAAGTAGGACAATGTAGTAGTATAATGTCAGCGAATTGTGGGACATTTATTCTTTACTTGGCATACAGTATAAGCAGTAGGTCCTCATATTGGATGTGTTTTGTTTTCGGTTTCATGAGTGTAAAAAAAAAAAAACGCGGCTACAGCATGTGACTTCATCCTTTTTTTTCCTTTGTTTGAGGATTAAAGCTTTTTTTTTGCCATTTGCTTACGAAATTCTAGACTACAAAATGTATGCCACATACAGTATTTACATGTAAATTAGGCCTCTAATTGTGAGATTTGTCTCTCTAGTACTTCATTAGTCATGAGGTAGTAGGTGTTTGTGCTTCAGGACACAGTTCCCAAAAAAAGCATGAAAATATTTTGCGTAGTGAAAATTTTGACATGTTCACCATTCAAACGCGTCATCAAAAATCGTTCATTCATCTGTGATAATGACTCAACAAACTTGGATTTGTGGAATGCTTTTTATTATAAATGTTAATAATTCCAATGAAAAACAGATGTATCAGAGCATGATGCGTCATGTGCTCATTTAAAAAAGAACAACTGTAGAGGCATTACGCACGACATTTAAGTAACAAGTAGGCCCTCACAGAATCTGCACCCACTGTTCATAAAGATCTACACATTCGGAGCTGAAATATTTGGATACTTAGGTTATGTTTTGGGTATTAATTACACAATATTCAACAGAATGTTACAGATTTCCCCAAGTTAAGCTCATTCGACAAACACTTGTGGCATAATGATGACTTCCTCAAAATATTTTACAAGACGTAAACAAAGTGTTAACATGATTTTAATGTGAAAAAAATTTATATAAAGATGTATGCAGTTTTACAACTTTGTTGCATGACAACAACATAATGCCTAAAACCACAAAGCAATCATAAAATAACGAGAATGTTACTTCTCAAATAAATGCTTTAATAATATTATAAGCTTCACGTTTCTGCTTATAAATCCTCCCAACAATGGCCCTTTTTATTTTAAGTGCCTCAACCGAACCTTATTATGAAAATAAAGTTCAAACAACAAATCTAAATTATATACTATATGTATTGTAAGATTTAGCTGTCACTGTATACTAGCACTGCTGAAGTGCTCTATTGACCATCCAGGACTGGAACTTTCCTGTTCTAATTAACATAATATCATGAATTCATTCTCAGTTTCCACCACCAGGTGGCAACAAACACCATCTATTACAGCATCCGATTTTGTCTCAAGCAAGTGCTTTTTGAAGGACTGAATCTACAAATCATCCCTTTTTAGGGAAGGTTACATCCTTATCAAAATTTTTACAAACTACGGTAAACGCATTGGATGACACGTATTAAGTTTTATGGCACATCCGCTATTTAGGAGCCGATAAGCGATTTATCGCGCGTAATGCTCACGGAATGATGAATCTCTGCTTGGTCATATGTGGATAAGTACATTCATAATCAGGCGAGCATGACCATTTGATATGTTAACCTGTGAAAGTGTTTCACAGTCCCCTCTACACTCTCAATATTAACTTGATGGGTATGTCAAACATATTTAGACTGATGGAAGTTTTAATGACAGTAAAATGTTAATTGACTTTTAAATAGACAGAAATGCTGGTAGTTAAAGTAAATTATACCCAATTAGGGCCCTCTGCCATCTGTTAGAAGTCTCTCTCTTTTTCTCCTCACCATGATGTGCATTTTAAACAGTTTAGCACGTCATGAATACGAAGCAGATTCAGATGACGTTACCATGCAAAAATCACACATTAATGTTAAGTTAACATTAGGTTTTAACGGATAATTGACATTTTCCAACGCCTGAAGCTATTCATCAAAGTTTGATATGAAGATCTGCATTGTATCCAACATTTCTTGATATCTAGCACTGTTCTAACTCGTATTTGCTTACAATCACAGGCTGTATTTGTGCTCGAATCCTTAATGCGGTCGCAGTTTTATCCGTAATGTTGAGTAACACAAGGCCGAGCCAAATCGACGCGTTCGCTCTTAGATTTAAAAGCAGGGATGGGTAACGATTTAAATTTAATTAACAAGCTGCCAGAAGGTGTAGAAAGACAACTCCCCCTCGCTCTGCCTCCTGCTCGCTTATTCTGGGGGGGTTTCAGAGCAGGAAGAGCTAATTACAGGGATGATATGACATCGACACATTCCGATGCAAAGAGTGTCACACGTACCTGGTCATTAGGAGTTTTACTCACAGGTATGGACAGTACTGCATCTATGGTGTGACTTTGAGCTCCAAACAGATTGCCTACCAGATTAAAAGCAGATGTGTTGCTTAAACGAAGTCATCCGTGGAAGATTTAGCAGATTCCGAGTGCTACAACACCCCTGCAAATAGGCTGACGTTGTTCCTCGGAGGGTCTGTTGACTCCAGCAGAGCCAATTAGAGTAGCCAGCAGTGCAGTCTGAGGGGCTTTGAAGCGCCCTGAAGACTGAGGCAGCTGCATCGGCCTGACCCATTTTTCCACACACACACCCCAGGCACCTCTGAGCCCACGCCAACCCGGACCGCAGTGGCCTGGCAGCAGGCGCGTCTCAAAACCGTTACTTTAGCATATTATTGGAGAACTTTCACTGCTGCCGATTGGTTTCGTGTCGGTGGTTGGACTCTTGAGGGTCTGAGATGGATTTGGTGTGTGTGTACTGTCACTTTAAACCTGTGTGCAGTTTTGTTCCTCGGCCATAAAACTCCTGAGCCTGTTAGGATTATACACATACCCAGGGCCAATTCAATTTCATTTCAATTCAAGTATAATGCGTTTGTCTCCCGTTACACACTAATGCTCAGGCATCACCAGTCACTCTGTGTTATAATGAGCAGAACAGTTTTCAATCGCTTTTTTTTGAGAAGCAATATTTAAAGACACCGAATCAATGTGGTTTGTATTTATAAGTGACAAATTTAAACGAGAAACAAAGCATATTTATACAGTAAATAAGTCAATAGCAGAGCTGAACTGGACAATTTTGATCACAACAGGGGGACTAAGAAAATAAAATTGTCCAGCCATGACTTCCTGTTATATGAGGAATAAAATATGAGGTAATGGGGCCACCATATGGGTTTGGTGCAAACAGGGATAAAAAGGAGGGCCTACCCTATGTGTAAAATTTAAATATACTACTGGAACTTTAATGTCGTGGGCCTGTTTTTTCTGCTGGAGGTCCTGAACATCTTATTCACATTCGTAGCATCATGGATTCTGTCAAATACCAACAGATAAGAAAAATCTAAAACCTTATAATGGGTTGGATCTTCTATCAGGACAACGATCCAAAACAAACATCAAAATCAACTCAGAAATGTGTCACTGAGCACAAAATGAAGCTTTTGCCATGACCATCCCAGTCCCTGACCTGAACCCTATAGAAAATGAGTGGGCTGAACTGAAGAGAAGCAGCGCCAACATGGATCTGGAGAGATTCTGTATGAGGAATGGTCTCTGATCTCTTGTCAGGTGTTCTCCAAACTCATCAGGCATTATAGGAGAAAACTCAGAGCTGTTATCTTGGCAAAAGGAGGTTGCAAAAAGCATTTAATAAAAGGGTGCCAATAATTATGGCCAATGTGTATTAGAGAAAAACATTACATAAAGAGATTTTCTCCCCAATTTCAATAGTTTACTTCAATGAAAGGTTCGATTTTTGTGAATATATCAAAAGGATAAACAATGCAGATTTATTTTCACAGCCTTCTTTGATCATATTTACAAAGGATGCCAATAATTCTGACATTGTGTCTCATTCACTAATAATTGGGTGGATTATTTCGTATTTGTACGCACAGGTGAACTCAGGAGAAGAAAAATCTCCGCCAAATTCACAACACATTCGTACGCACATGAATTTAGTTTTTTTTTTGTTCTTAAAATCGTTCGTACGCACATTTCACACACAACTTTGTGCGTACGCGTGCTTAGTGAATGAGACCCATTGACTGTATAACAAGTTTAGATGGAAAGGATCTTAAGCTGACTTGCTAAAGACGTTACTGTAGCTTTACCCCTTAATAGACACAAACTTTTATGAAAATAAATTCCAGCACAGCTTTACAACAACCCATAATGAAATGACCCTTCACAGTAGATCATGCTTTACAAAGAACTCTGTTTGAGAGCTACATATGGCAATTTATCTGTTCAATAAAATACATTACTCACCTGTTGAGTCGTAAAAACACAATGCTCTGCTTTTACAACAATCCCTCAGTTCTCGCCATCGCTGAAAAGCCAAGCCAATCCTGATTCTCATTTATCGTGTTCTCTTTTTGCCAGAAGACTCTTCTCTGATCGGCGTTATTTTTTAAAACGTGTGATTACCCAGCGGTTCGAGATTTAGCTGCTCCATATCATATCCTCTTTCTCACTTGTTGTGACAACGAACCTATGAAGTTAGTTACATAGTGTACCTTTAAACAGCTGAATATTAGCATAATATATTTTTAAATCTTATTATAAAGACAGTGATATATACTAACATCTATCTCATATTAAATATTTTAAATAATCCCTTATCCTAAACAAGTGCATCAATTGCCATCTCAGCTGTAGTCTATCATTTAAATTGAATTTAACTCTAAACAAGTTTAAAACATACTGGGAATGTCATTTAAAGCCTTTTTTTCAAAAAATTATAGGACATTAAATTCATATTTGTATAAAGAAAACCAAGGTTGTTTTCTTTGAGGAGGCAACAGTCCTTTTTCACAAGAATCAGATTTTACATTGTGAAACGTTTTCACTCGGTGTGCGATCATGCACAAACATCACCAAACAGACACGTTGAATGGCAAAACTAACTGAATTATTAGCGCCATCATTTAGAATTAAACAAACTTGCATTTGTGATGACCTGAAGCTAATTCAAAAGATTAATACATTGCTGGGTCTTCGTATAGTTGTGAAATGTTTGCCCTTTGCAGAGTAAAGCACAATAGTGTGAATATTTCACAATGTTGCTTTATTCTATTTTTGATTAAATGCAGCCCTGGTTAGCATAAGAAACTTCGTTCATACACATTACAAAATCTCACAGAGTATCAATCTAAATATGTTTTTTTATTATCTTCAGTTGCAGTGCATTGAGCTCGCTTGGTCACCTTACTTATCTGTATTGACCAGCATTTCAATACTGGTTCTGTAAAGAATACGTTATATATACATATACATATACCCTACATAGGCTCACAGAAAGTATTAGAAGAACAGCATATGTACGTGTCACGATTCTCCTTAAGGAGTGTCTGGGTGCGTATGTTTTGTGTGGGCGCGTGGTTGTGTGAAATGTAAATCAGTGTGTTTGCTTGTGTAGGTATGCTCATGAGTGTCAGTATGCTTGTCTGCACTCTCTATAGAAACGTTTGAGTTAGGAGATATGTCCTGTCAGTTCACTCTGAGTACGTGTTTGTATTTGTATGTGTGTGTGAGTGAGAGCACCAGGCCTGTGAGTTAGACTGTGCTGTATTGATAAGACGGGAAGCTTGCAGCGGTGTGTGACTTTGGCCCTCTCTCTTTGCAGGTAAAGGACCGGAGACTCTGTTCGCAGGGCATAAGCTGAATGACAATGAGTGGCACTCTGTGAAGGTGGTGCGCCGTGGGAAGAGCCTGCAGCTTTCTGTTGACAATGTGACCGTGGAGGGTGAGCGGAAGACCTCGCACACACTGTATATGGACACATGGACAATTATTACAGTTATAATAGAGTCGAGATTCAATCTTATTATGCCTGTGTACACTACATTCAAATGTTTGGGGTCAGTAAGATTTCTTTTTTTTAAAGGAATTTAATACTTTTATTCATGCATTAAATTGATAAAAAATGTACATTAAAGACATTTGTAACATTACAAATTATTTAAATTTAAAATAATTTTTATTTTTATTTAAAGAATCCTGAAAGTTATTATTTACAATACTTTTTTTCCATCAATACTACATCAAATTGTTCTTTTGAATTTTTTATTTATCAAAGAATCCTGGTAGATTCCTTTCAAAGTTTCCACAATATTACTAAGCAGCACCATAGTTTTCAACATTGGTAATAATAAGAAATGTTTCTTGGACACCAAATCAGCATATTAGAATGATTTCTGAAGGATAATTTAATACTGAAGACGGCAGCAATGGCTGATGAATTCAACGTTGCTATCAAAGGAATAAATTACATTTAAAATATATTATAACAGTTTTTGTTGTTGATTTATTCAATTTTTTTTATTAAATGCAGCCCTGGTGAGCATAAGAAACTTCTTTCATAAACATAAAAAAATCTCACTGACCCCAAACTTTTGAACAGTGTATATACAAGATAAAATGAACATGAAATTTAAAAAGGAAAACATTTCGGACTGAAATTAAACTTTAAAGTGAACATAAACATCCTAACCAGGTGTGATCCATTATAGTAACGATCGCTCTTTTTCTACAGAAACTATGAAATCTAATTGGTCTAAATTCTTGCACCTCATAGTGAATTCTAATGTTTCCAATTTGTGAATGAATCATTCAGATTGCTTTTGTGAACCAAATGATCCAATCCACTGCCAAAGTGTGAAGAATAGTTTGTTTGCAAATTGCTACTCATTTCATGAACAATATTTTCAGTGAATAATGACTTCAATTTCAGTATGTTTCTTACAGGAAGTTATCTTCACTGATTTTCACGTTCAGTACACATAGACTTGCTTGACTTGCTGCATCATACCTAGTTAGGGCAGCATGTTATTCATTCTTCGTTGTGGTGACAACTGAAAGATTATATATAGAACAGTTTTTCAGGTTAAAATTCATCTTGCACATTGCAAGTTCAGCGTTACAGCACATCCAACTCTAAATTGAACATCAAAAGCTGTACTTGCCTTGGGATGGGCTCAGGCAGCACGCCATTCCTTAATATCTTCAGTTCCCAGACCTGACTAATCGAGCGTGTTTGGTTCCGCCACAGGCCAGATGAGCGGAGCACACACGCAGCTGGAGTTCCACCACATAGAGACGGGCATCATGACCGAGCGGCGCTTTATCTCAGTCATGCCTTCCAACTTCATCGGCCACCTGCAGGGCCTCGCTTTCAATGGCATGCCGTACCTAGACCAGTGCAAGAATGGTGATATCTCCTACTGCGAGCTCAATGCCCGCTTCGGCATGCGCCGCATCGTGGCCGATCCGGTCAGCTTTCGGAATCGAGGCAGCTATGTGGCGCTGTCCACCCTGCAGGCTTACGCCTCCATGCACCTCTTCTTCCAGTTCAAGACCACCAGCCCCGATGGTCTGATGCTGTTTAACTCTGGAGACGGCAGTGACTTTATCGTGATTGAGCTTGTGAAGGGGTGAGTGGGTGAAGAAAAAGTTGTTTATTGTATTCCTGTGATTTTACTCCTGCATCATGTTTTAAAAGTTTAAAAGTTTAAATTTTTTGGCTTTTAGTTAAAGGGGACCTATTATGCCCCTTTTCACAAGATGTAAAACAAATATTTGATGTCCCCAGAGTGTGTATGTGAAGTCTTAGCTCAAAATACCCCACAGATAAAATTTGGGCTTGTGCAAAAACGCACAGTTTTAGTTTCCCTTTAAATGCTAATGAGCTGCTGCTCCCGCCCCACTTTTCCGACGAGAGAGGTCCTCGTCCTGGTAATACATAAACATACCTGAACTCCTGTAGCGAACATGAAACGTCTTCATTGATAACTGAGTACCAACAGAGTTGGTCAGTGGTTTTGCGTCTGTCTGACAAACATCTCTTGTTTGGCTGCTCTGTTCTGATGTGCTGTCCTTTACAAATAAAGATTCCACTATCAGACCGATAAAAAAATAACAACATTTTGGACGGACTCATGGTGCTATCACATGCTATCACAAACTTTATAAGTCTAACATGTTATTATGAGCTTGACAAATTCAAAGGCAATTTGGAAAACAAACGCGTAATACTTACTTCTAGATGTGTAGCTGGATCACGAACAGTTGGCTCTGCTACATCCTTCAAGAGCAACTTTTTAGTAAATAGATAGAGCTATGTGGATTAATACATCCAGCTACACAACACCGACAACGCTTGGGAGACATTCTTGTCTGTGCAGCAATGGCGGATGTGTACAACTCTCAACTCACTGTGAACTCGATCAGGGCGGTTCTATGTTAAAACGGCAGTGTCTGTCAACACTCGTGGGCATCACTAGTGGCGTCACTAAAGCCGCATTCTGAAAACAGGTCGTTGGGAGACTCTGCTTATGATTTATGGGGATTTAAAAAAAAAAAAGGAGTGGGTGGATTTTTTTATCACTGTAGGGTGGTTGTGTACACACACTGCCAACACACATTTATGTCCAAACACCATGCAAAAGTGAATTTTGGATAATAGGTCCCCTTTAGTTAAAACAATCTTTTAGCAGATATACACATTTAGAATTTGCAACAGTGTTATTTTAGTAATAATTATATACTATATATTTATTTATTTTTTAAATGGCTTTTGTTTTTATATTTTCAAATTTAATTTTCATTTATCTTTGCTAGCTTTATTTATTTTAGTTTTAGCTTTAGTTTTTATTTTATTTTATTTATTTTTAAATACAATTAATTTTGTATCTATTTATATTCATTTTTATTTAAGCTTCAATTAATTTAATGAAAACGTTTTATTTTATTTTTTATTTAATTAATAACAACACTGATGTACAGTATTTTTGGTACCGTTTAAATGTGCCAAAAATATTGATGACTCATCTTGCACTACACAGAATTTTGTCCAATCAAATGCGCTCTAGAGTGAAAAAGCCGCTCGTCCTGTATCAAAAAAGAGAAGTATTCTGCCCAACGGTCCTGTTTCCATAAGAATTGTGCTTAGGAAAGAAAACTATTATCATCAATTGATTTCGTGTGGACTTTAAATGGCAGAAATATAGGATACTGCATTTGACTCCGCCCTCTGCTGCATCAAACCAATCAGAGAAAAAGCTCATTGAATAAAATCTGTTCATTATTAAAGGACTTCACTTCACTTAAAGGCGCGCATCACTATTGTCCATACTCATATTGCTAAAGACAGCATTAATCATTAAAATCAAATGAATAAAAGCCATTTGATTAAACTATGAAGTTAAGACAGGAACTATAAAGAAGAGATTAGAATAGAAAATATCAGGACATCACTGCACAAATTTCAGAAATAGGCAGGGTATTATGAAATGATAATAACGCTGAGAACTAACCTGATTGGGAAGAGAGAGAGAGATGAAATTAGAGTGCAATATAAAGTAAAGCCTTATAAGAGCTATACGTGATGGCAAGCCTGAGGCCTGAGAGACAACGAGAAAGAGACCTTAGCTAAAAGCAAAAGCTTCCTGAACTATTCTACAGCACTACAGCAAAGGAAATTATATTATTCTCTGAATTGTGAGCTTGCAGTCTCATTTGAATGTGATGAAAAAGACTGTGTATTGTGAAATAATGCTAAGACAACACTTCTTTGCACTCAAAAACATACAGCATGACTAGTGTAGTCCGAATCAGGAACAAATGACTCTTAGAAGACGGCTTGTTTAATGATTTCCCCCCAACAAATCTCAGGCTCTGTTCCAAAACATAGTTAGCTGCTTCAGAAGGTGTCATAGGGGCTCAGAAAGCAAAGCGTTTTCCAAAAGGCAGGCATCTTAATTATGCTGCCTACTAAGAATTCATGTTTTGGCCAAATGCAAACGAAAAGCCTTTAACCCAATATTTGCATGTGCTATGAATTTTTATGTTTATTAGTGTGTGCAGTTAGTCAAACTCTGTTGAAAAAAAGTTGATTTTGAGTTTGTTTCAGTTAACATGCTGCCTTAGAAGGCAGCTGTCTATGTAGGCAGTATGCAGCAAGATGGTTCAAATGGCTTTGGAACAGAGCTTGAATCTGTCTGATGAATCCATCTTTAAATCTGACCCAAAAAGCCTTGAACTCATACAGTACTGAAACGTGCTTTTCATATGACAAATGTGCAGTTATAGACATTTGCATATAAACAAACATTTGCAGTGTTTTTGTAATAAATATTTGTTAACTTTATTTTAGGATCCAATTCTCACTGTTGTCTAGCATGCATATTACTAGGATATTGGATGTTTATTAGTACTTATAAAACACATATTAATGCCTTTTTCTCCATGGCCATATTCTACAACCCTTCTACCTAATACCTAAACTTAACAACTACCAGTGATTAGGAGTTTATTGGGGTAGTTAATAGCTAGTTAAAGTGAGAATTGCACTTAAATTGGATTCTTTAATATGGTTTAGAATAATAAACATAGAAGACATATTCAGTCTTTAAAACATTGCAGTATGTTACCAAATTAGCATTGTAAGTTTTAGTTCAATTATGGGTTTGAACTGTTTGGGGAGTGGGTGCGATTCTATAGGAACCACTGACAGGAAGAAAAAACCCTTGAGATGGTAAGCAAGTATTTTCTTCTACTCTACCACCCATATGATATTAAAAATAAGGATCCTGAGACATTCCCACTGACAGCTCGAAGTTCAGCTTCAGTACATTACACAGATTGTTGGCAATATGATCCTTTAGCATACAAACATCAGTCCCGAGAGAGTCGAAGCTCAAAGGCCTTTTCCGACAGAACTAACACACACTTGTTTCCGTAGAAGAGTGAGTTGCAGATATTATTGCAGAAACTCCCAGAAGACACGGCAGATATTCGAGGGAGCACATGTAAGCAGCTAGTTTAACACATTAGAATATGAGAGGCATCCAGATGAAGTTAAGTTGCCACGCTAAACAGCGCGTTTAAGTTTGCGATTAGTTAAGAGACATTACTTGGATGTGAATCATAGCCGTGGGAGGGTGAGTCAAGTCGCATTATAAGATTCGCACATTTGTCTCCTTGGCATTTAGTTAAAGGTACGTGGAGGAGAATCTCTTGATGAATCATCACAGGATAGAGGCCATATTTAAATTTAAACAAATTCTGCATGAGTTGCTTGTGGTTATGCGTAAATGCTGATCAGTATCTGCTAGGAAGCAGCTCGAGTTATTCTTTTGACGTTTAAGCGTACGCCCGATGACTCTGAGACAACTGTGTCTGCTTGTCAATCAAGAGCGATTTTAGGAGAATGATTGCGTGGATTGCTATTCTTAGCCTCGGATACTGTTTTCGGCTCACATGAAAAGTGCAAATCCATTTCAAAATGATAAAGTAAGCACTGGTGATCTTGATGAAAAAAGAGCAACTTTTTAATCACATGTAATGTAAGTGTTATTTGATTAACGGTATTCTATTAATTGGCAGCTCACTCTGTTCCCAGCCCACATGCCAAAGCCGCCACGTGGGAGATCTGCAGTCTCGGATCAGTTATTTTTCCTACCAGCCTAGTAAAAGATTTCTCAGTTCAATCATACTGCCTATGCCAAACATAGTAGGTACAACAACCTGATTTTCTCTATACATTTTATTCCATTGGGCAAAAATGAATAGTGACAAAGGGGAAGGTGCCTCAGATGTTTAACTTCCTCAGTCGCAGTGGTCCAGAAAGCCAGTTATTCAGCAAGCAATTAGACAGCAGGTGGTCTTGCCTCTCACCGGAGTCTGCACAAGCATGTAAAATGAGAGAACGCTAATGAGAGCTCTCTCTCTCTCTCTCTCTCTCTCTGCAGTATCCTGATGCATGAACTGAGGGCAACTACTAGCATTAGCAAAACTGAATGTTTATAGTTTGAATAAATATTAGGAATGCACTGTTTATCTCCATGACCTTGTCAGTATTGACAACTCTTTTTATTTTACAACTTTTTTTTGTCATTGGTTTGAATAGAGTGTGAAAATGTCTTAGTTCTGCAAGTATTTTTCACATTTAGGCATCTTAGACAATTCTTCAGTAAAGAGTTCTAAGCCACACAAACAGTTCAGAGATGAATCACAGTATTATAGTATTCATCTGGAAGCAAACATGTATTTGAAAAACAGAAAAAGGTTTGAGACAGTGTAGTCTTATGAGGGATTGAACTACTGCTGCAGTCACACTTGAGCTCTGTTGCTGAAAGACTCAATTCTATGATAAAAGATGATTTCTCTTAAGGCATATTTCAATACTCAACAACCCCAAAAGCTTATGTTAGGCCTTTCTTGAAAGATTTGTGGATTATCCAACCCAGGCTTGTTGATAAAATGTGCCTGTGATGACATTTCTGTAAAATGAAATTGAAGTTGAACACTTTGAAATTGAAAATGTCTAGTGAGTGGCGTTCAGTTTTCTGGCAAAGTTTTATTACATTGGTGTTTGTACATATCGTTGCAGTTTGGATATTTCTTTTAGCGGCAGTAAAAAGTTCTATTGATTAGTTCTATATATTAGCCTTTAGCTTTCCTGTAGCTCAAACAGTAGAGCGTTGGCTCTTGCAACGCCAAGGTCATGGGTTTGATTCCCAGGGAAAGCAAGAATTGATAAGAATGTAAATGTGTACCTTGAAATGCAATGTAAGTCGCTTTGGATAAAAGCGTCTACCAAATGCGTAAATGTAAATATTAAAAAAAGCAAACATGAGACACATTTACTGAAGCAACCATGCCATTGTAACTTGTTTCTACAAGTATTTGAGCTCTTTTATTGTGACTCATGTTTCACGAGACTCGTACCCGAGCGCTCCACATCGCAATTTTAACAATGTACTAGGTGGTTGGCGCCGACATGTAGTGCCATTGTGCTTCGGGTGACCCAAATTCGACTCCCGGCTCATCGACCTTTCCCTCCCCCCCCCCCCCCCTCTCTCTATCTCTCTCTCTCTCTCTCTCTCTCTCTCTCTCTCTCTCTCTCTCTCTCTCTCTCTCTCTCTCTCTCTCTCTCTCTCTCTCTATCTCTCTCTCTCTCTCTATCTCTCCCACCTCACTTCCTGTCTAGCTACTGTCCTATCCAATAAAAGGCAAAATAAACGGCAAAAAAAAAAAAGAAAAAGAATGTACTAGGTGAACTCCCAAGCAAGTTTACTATGTCGGGAAAAGTCATACATATGGAGCTGGTTATGTGATGCAGACATAAAAAAACAAAAATTTGTTTATAAATCATGCACTATGGTAAGTGTTTTGAGGTCATAATATAGTACTGTGCAAGGAAACGTATAAAAATAAATATTTATTAATCGATAATCTGCCCCTGTAATTATAATTTGGGTGTAAAGAAATACAATTTGTTGCTTTTTGGCTGCCACTAGTGTTCATTTAAGCCGCAAAAATGGTAAAGACACGTTTTTCCAATGAGCCTATGCTGCGATTATTGCGAAAGATCAGATTCTCTATAGAGAAAATTAAAATACCTTTTTTACTTCCAGAACACTTTTCACGCTATTGGCTGATCAACTGATATGGGAGCTATATATTGTCCACGACTTATTGTAATTTTGGCATATTAGTTATCAGCCAAAGCGCATTTATTACTGACAAATGTCAGTATAAAATCTTTAAATTAAAATAAATATGTGAAATGAAATCTTCACACAAAAAGTTCAAAGCATCAAATAATGTCTAAATATGATATATGGAGCAACAGTGTATTGCATTTTAAGGGACACTTTGCTGAGAACTGTAACTGGGGCTGCACACCGAGCTTCTGACAGGTTAGAAGTCTGTCTGTGCCAGTATTTCAAGCCTTATTACAGATATTGATTTGGAAGCAGAAAGGCAGTATTGTCATCCTAAAGAGGGTTGCATGATTCCACTGGGCTGTGTGATTGACAGGGGAACTGATGTATTGCAGGTACATCCATTATGTTTTTGACTTGGGCAATGGGCCGTCGCTCATGAAGGGCAACTCCGACAAGCCGCTCAATGACAACCAGTGGCACAATGTGATGGTGTCCCGCGATGACAGCAACGTGCACACGCTCAAGATCGACTCCCGCACGGTCACGCAGCACTCCAATGGAGCCCGCAACCTGGACCTGAAAGGTATTTCCTCTCTATATTCACACTTTTCAGAATCCCTACCATGTTGCCTTAGTTAGTCAATGCATATTCAGATTTGAGATACCTTGAACCTTTTTTTTTTTTTTTTTGTTAATGTCCACCTTTTGTTGTCCACATTTTTTGGTGATATGCACACAGGTATGTAATAGTACGACTTAAATGGGTAGTTGACCCCAACATGAGTATTGTTATTTGCTCATCCTAATGTCACCACAAACCTGTATGACTTGCTTTCAGTCTTTTTTTTTTTTTTTTTTGTCCATACAATGAAAGTCAATGGAAACCCACTGTAACAATTTGGGAACCAATATTCTTCAAAATATCTTCTTTTGTGTTCCACAGAAAAAAGTATGTTTACATACACATTTGGAATGACATGAGGGTGGGGCCCACATTTCATTTTTGGGCAAACTTTCCCTTTCACAGCCCATTTGTACTTCACAGCCTCATTGTTGCAACCACCTAGCAACGCCCTAACAACCAGTCAGAACATCAAACATTTAGCAACGCCTTAGCGACCACCCTTATCCATCTTCTAAATTGTACAGTATATGCTTATCAAGATACTAATATCTTTATTGACAGTATAAAAAAAACATAGAAATGTTTAAAAATATATTCTGAACAAATATTTCTGTATCAATTCTGTAGATTTATTATAATTTAAATAAAATATAATTGATTTTAACTTAAAATATACATTTATTTTTTAAAAGAAACAACCTCTTATACATAAGATATAGCATAAGATAACATATTATATATATGTTGAGGATTTTTATAGTGGAGGGTCTTTGACTGAGGGACACTGGGTCGGAAAAATGGGTTCACTTTGTTCTCTAGGAAATATTTTCAATCTTCTGATCTTCAGTATAACATATCTTTCTTCCACTTTTATTACACTCACTTTGGTTGTTTAGGCTCAAGTCTTATGACTGTTGTCTCATTCTTAGGTACGATTAGATACATATTTACAGTTATGCCCATCTTGGGTTTGATTTTAAACTCTTGCATTCAACTTTAATGAGCATCTTTCCTGATGGGTATTTACACTGCTCCCAGCTCCTTGTTTAAATCATGTTGCTTCTGAAATCTACCTTCCAGTACTTCTCACTTTTTGCTATCGTTTTTCACTGTTTTCTGCTGTAATTAGAAGAACAAAGAGTAGCGCCTACAGGGGAAAGAGAAAAAGCAACAACAACATGCCAATGACTTTGCATAATTTTTAGTGCTTCCAAACCGGCTTTTGCTATCTTAAGCAGGTGTTGCTTGACTCTGGGCACAAAAACAAACTTTTATTTCACAAAAAAATGTACGAATATGAATCTCATGTATATTCAGTTCTTTCCTTGTGTGTGTTGAAATGAAATATTTTGATTGAAAAGACATTAGCAGCTGCTGGCATAGCAATATCCTAGGCTTTTCAATAGTCTGAGTTTCATAGTAGAAATCTTGGCAGGCAATCATTTGTTTTGTGTCTTAGTCGACATTTGTAAAAAGCTGAGACAAGTTCACAAAAAGAAAACAGAACCCACTTTGTTTGTCAGGACCACATAATCTGACCATGGAACAAGTAGATGTAATGAGAATTTGTCAAGGTTTTTTTTTTTCTCAGTGTCTGCTGTTTTTCTCTGCTGATTGGCTAGTAATGCGGTAGATTGGAACCATTTTTTTAGTAAAATGTTTTTAGTATATGTTTTATATAAATAAACTTTGGAAACATTACAATTTGTCAATATGTTTGAAAGAAGTTTCTTATGCTCACCATGGCTGCATTTATTTAATACAAAATACAGTATAATCAGTAATATTGTGAAATATTATTACAATTGAAAATAACTGTTTTCTATTTTAACAAATTTAAAAATGAAATTTATTCCTGTGATGACAATGCTGAATTTTCAGCATCATTACTCCAGTCTTCAGATCCTTCAGAAAGCATTTTAATATGCTGATTTGCTGCATTATCAATGTTGAAAATAGTTTTTGCTGCTTAACATTTTTGTGGAAACAATGATACCATTCAAACATTTGTTGCAAGATAAAATTTTTTATAAATGAATGCTTTTATTCATCAAGGATACATTAGATTGATCAAGTGACAGTGAAGACATTTATAATGTTACAAAAGATTTAGATTAAATAAATGCTTTAATAAATGCAAATAAATGGTGTTCATTGAACTTTCTATTCAAGAAAGAATCCAGAAAAAAGTATCACCATTTTCACAAAAATATTAAGTAGCCACAACTGTTTTCAACATTGAAAATATTATTTCTTGAGCACCGAATCAGCATATTAAAATGATTTCTAAAGGATCATGTGACACTGTAGACTGGAGTAATGATGCTGAAAATTCAGCTTCGAAATCACAGGAATAATGTGTCAGCAAGGTGCAGGCAGACGACAAAGAAGCAGAAGATGATGATTCAAAACACAGAGTTTAATAAAAGTCCAAAAGGCAATCCACAGAAAGCTTAGCACGAGCACAACTTACACATATGCTAACGTAAACGAGACCGGACAAACACAGAGTGAAGGTGAGGAGCTTAAATACACATGGTGATGAACTAAATGACGAACAGCTGTGATGAAGATTAGTTTCCATGGAAACTGATGGGTGAGGGGAAACTCAAACAAAGGAATACGTGCGACTAATGGATACAAACTAAAAGTCCATGAAAACCAAAACAAACTGAACATAACTACGACAAAATGACATTATAAAATGTATTCAGATAGAAAACAGTTATTTTAATTTGTAATAATATTTCGCAATATTACTGTTTTTACTGTACTTTTGATTAAAGAAATGCAGTCTTAGTGAGCATAAGATACATATACACAACAAGTGAATATATTAATTAATGCAAGCAAATTCTGATTTTAACCCAAGAAAAAAAAGTTTAAAATAGTGCCAAAACAAAACACTTTACTATCCACCTTATTCTGCTCTAAACAATGCGCGCCGCCATGACGATGACTCCGGTTGCCTACTTCCGGTTCGTACTGTATTAGCAGTGAGAGAATGAGTTCAGGCTCTACGTGCTGTTGTTGGTTGTTTTAACAATTCAAAGAAGATAAAAAAAAAAAACTTTTTAGAAACTGGGTGCTTTGAGCATAAGATAAAAAGGAGAGAATGCCCATGTCCGGTTCGTATCAGCTATATTCAATGCCAGAGAGTAGAAGTTTTTGGTTAGCTACGCTAAAACTGAAGCATCCAACGAAAAAGGTGTATGTCTCTCCGCAACATTTTGTTGACAAATGCCTAATACGTTAACAGTAGGGATGGGCATTTCAAGCAAAATTAATAATCGAAGATCGCTGGGTATTATTCAATTATTATTTGAATATGCATGCATTTATAGGCTATAAGCTACACACCAGAGCACATGAGCAAAGCGGAGCAGTGATGCTTAAAAATAAGTTTAAAAAAAACGTTAAAAAAAAAAAACATACGTTTTATATTTTAGTTTCACAATATAATGTTTTTTTTTTTTTTTTATCTATGTTGATTATATGAAAAGGAAACCGCATGGGATGAGTCAGATATGATCATAAGATGCCCAATATATCGGAAAACATTTGGAATGGCTCAGACAGACATGATTTTGACCACTTATTAAGTTTTGTTTTGTAGAAAGCCTTTCTTTAAAGTGAATTTCGTTTAGTATAAATTGTATCTTCATTTTAATCAATGTTTTATCAACAAATTGCCTGGAATACTAATAAATAAGAAGCAAATATAGTAGATATACAGGACACGGAGGCGCGGGCGCGTGAACTGGAGCGCGTCTTATTAATCAACGAATCTCGGCGTAGGCTATAAGTTACTTGCCTCACATACATGAGAAGTATATTTACAGAAAGCTTGAAATGTGTACTTTTAAACAAAATAATTAAAAACGAGCAAAAATGGGCTGCTCTCTGCTTATGTATAGGTTAATTCGTATGAAGTGTGCATTTCTCTCTATAGGCGCGTTCTCTACTGCGAACATGGCGAGTCAGCATCATCAAATTTATCTTTGCAGTCGACACTTACAGAAAACACTAGTTTATTAATAAACAATTTAAATGTTTCATGGATAATCATTACTTTTGCCGTTTTTTTGTGGCAAGCTTTGAGATGCAGAATAGTCAATATATTACGAAAACGCCCATTATGATTTAGCATTCTCTCCCATATAGTATACATAACTTCCAACCCAACTTCAGTCGTGCACGGGCAGGTGCAGCCCTACTTATTTCACATATTTTTTAACCAGCACATCACTGCGGCGTTCTGAGCAAGCGGCGCTCAATCTTCATAAAGCTTCGAACCGGAAAAGGACAACCGGCTTCCGGTTCAAACCCGCTATGAATCATGGGTAAATTCGCTAACCAGGAAAAAGGTGGATAGGCCTATATATCCAATGAGGGGCTAGATAAGATATGTTTTTTCTTGTTCTTCATAGAAACTCATTCGACCTCCTACAGGAAGAGAAGAATGGCAGAAAGACTAACAACTGTTAAAAATATGACAACTGGCATCTGGTTATTTAAGTGCTGCTCACGTTAGCTAACTGGAAATAGAGTCTAACTATCTATTATCTAATGATAAACATTAACTAAAATGTGCTAGAATTGATAGAAGTCAACTAATGTGTTAAAATGTGTAAAAAAAATAATTAATTTCATCATCTTGGGAACAAAGGAACTTTGGAACTGCACAGAAACTGAATTATTTATTTATTAACCATCTGGGGTCTGAGGTGTTTTTGGGGTCCTTGAGATGTTTTGACATGCCCTGACATTTGTGCTTATTTCAGCTACTTAAAACATACCATTTGCCAACATTTAAATTAGCTATATTCAGCACAAACTCTGCTACAATAATATGTGAGCAAAATGGATGTACATGTTTGCATTTTATAAAAAAAAATATTATGCGTGGTTAGTACGTTTTGGGGAAAAAAATGTCACCGCAATAAGGCCATTTAACA